GTCTGTGAACCGACGCGCAATTTTCTTGTAACACGCATGGTACACACTTCTGGAAATACAAAAAGTAATTTTTTTCACATGTCATGCAAACACCATTTTCACAGAACAAGCAATGCAGATTTCCTTTTGTTGTTTGACATGTATTTGAAGACGTATTCAACTCTTGACATGTTGAACAAATATTGTTGCACTTTATCGAATAATTTTCATAGTAAAATTGAAAACAATAGCCCACTGAATCACGTATGATTAAATCACTTGAGATATACACAATTGACTCACTTGTAACAGAAAATTTGTTTGTGCCAATATTAAAAAACCCGTCTTTGTGATAAATCTCCAATTGATCATTAGCTTTAAATGAACATGTTGGAAGTGAATTATTGCATATACATTTAACTGTAAACTTGACACCATTTTTTATTATCATTATAGTTTGAGTGAATTGGTTGTTTGTTTCATACAACAAAATCGATTCCGTGTCATATACAAATTTAAATGTAATACTACATTGTATTTTAAGTGACTTGATTTCTCCGGTTACTTTCTGTTCAAATTGTGAAGGTACGCTAAAATCCAGATTTCCATTTCCACGAATCACAGCGTTTATCTGATGATCGCCTATTTCCACAAACGTTGAGTTAAAATCAAGAGGAACTTCTATAATACAATCATCCCCAAAACAAGGACAATGTGGATATTTAAATGAATAACTTTCGTTGTTTTGTTCACCAATGTCTGTATAATATTTTGTACCATTCAAAGTGCATATGACATTTTTATCAAACGTATTTTTACAATATCTAACGGTCTTCCCTTCGTTTATTATTTGAATGTTTTCATTCAAAAAACCGGTAGTGATGTTTGTGGGAAACGAGAACAAATCAACACAGTTAATAATGTTAACAAACAGTATACTTCCAATATGCACATTTCCCGTGTATTGTACAAATACAGGTTTTCCATATTTAACAGTTTGTTCTCCACATTTAATAACAACTTGATCGATTTCCGTTGAGCACTCTCCGCACGTTTGTCCCAACACAATTGGGTAAGTAGAGTAATCTCTCAACTCTCCTGTTATATTTACACTTTCTATATAAACGCGTGACTCCCCGTTTATTTCCATAAAAGAGTCTCTGTCCAAACTCAATGCATCGGCGTGTATGTTTGAATTTTGGAAGAAAATCATATTGGACGCAACAAGAAGCACACTCGAAAAAACAATACGACTACTTGTAAATTGGGCGGAACTTGCCCACAACAATAAGTCACTTCCGGTCAGTTCTGATGAGTTTAACGACAGTAACGAAAGTTCGCTAAACACCACACTTTTTATATCAAATATAGAAGAGGACCCAGCGAATGTCCCTTTATTACAAGAGAGTTGTGTTGTCAATGTTATATTTGTTTTTGCTATAAATGACGATGTTATTATTGATAGCGACGTTCCTCCGATTGTGTAGAAAGACACTTCTGAGTTTGTGTTGGTTGTTAAGTCCGATACAAAAATAACTTGACTCCCATACACTCCACTGAGTAACTCAAAGTCAAAAGTGGCATTTGTGTCAATGGATAACACAATTGGGTTTATCATTGAAATTTGAATTGTATTCAGATAATCGACAAACAAAGCAAGAAAAAAGTCGTTTGAAATGTTGAAAGTCACGTATTGTGCTGGAGTTAAACACAAGTTGTTATATTCAAACGCATTTTGATAGTCTGGGAATTGAAGTGTTGTGCACGCGTTTCCAGTGATGTAGTGAAACACTTTTTGTTACAAGTTGTATGAAAACAATAACTTTCAGTGGGTTATTTAAATAGATACTTTGAAATATTAAAATTTAATTATATAACGATGTTGGGTAAAAGGGTTTCGAACAATATAAACAAACAAGTTGCGTTACAGACCACTTCAAATGGAGGAGAGCAATCCTCTCCCTTAACATCAACTAAAAACTGAAGGGTTAATATGAAAACCGCCAATGTCATGGCTTCTTACTGAGTTTTTCCTTTTCAAGTTTTTTGGTATTTTTAAAAGATAAAACTGTTCAAAACAACGTTTTTAACTTCGAATTATAATTTGTAAATTAACATAAAATTTACAAAATTAGAAAAAAACTGTCCAACTTATGTATCAGAAAAAATAAAAAACATTTAAAAGGCAAAGACCACATGTTTATCATAAAGTTGTTTACATGAAGAAATGAATTTCATATTTATACTGTTTTATGATCAGAAAAATAAAACCAATACTTGCAAAAGTGATCTTTTTATCATAAAGTGTTATGATTAACCTTTTATTTTCAGTGGAGTTTAAAAATCGTTTTATTGGACTTTTAAAAAAATATATATTTTGTAGAATTATAAATTATATTTAAATAAGTTTTATAACATTATTTTTTATTTTTGAATATTACTTATAAAAGTAAATTTTTTTCATTTTTTACTATATAATTTAATAATTTAAAAATTAATAAATAAATTATGACTTTTATATATTTATCTACCATAAATCAAATTAAAAAAAAACAGATAAAATAAATTAAAATTGTTTATCAAATTGTTTTAATGAATTACTATGTATAAAGTATAAGTGCAACTTTTTTTAAATTGTAATTTACTCGAATTACAACGATAATTGAATTTAAATCATAGTCAAATATTAATGAATTTATTTGTTAAGTTTTTTAAGTTGATATTCTCTCAACAATGAACTTATTTGATTGTCACTCCGAGTGTTATTATTTCTTACTGATCTTGGTAAAACGTTTTTTTTTTCATTATCTCGCTTCAAATATAAAATAATTAAATACTATTATTATGGTAATGTAAATGTTAATTATGCTACGAGCAGTTTACTATTATTATTTATAAAATAATTTTGAGATTCAAAAGTAGGTTGTGTTATTGTGTTAAAATTTACTTATTATGATACCTCCAATAATTGATAGAATATCCTAAAATAAATGTAAACTCGTTTTTCTAATGAAATGGGAATACACACTTTTTTTAATTTTAAAGATGAAAACCACTCCACATCGATTAAAAACTGTACACAAACTTAAAAACAAAAAAAAGTTTGTCTTTTTCATGACCTCAATCAAAATTAAAATCCTTGACCACTAGATGCAAGACGAATCCATTGACTTGAGGCGAGAGGACTTAGAAATAGACACCGAAAATGATTTTCTTGGGGAAGGTTCGTTTGGCATTGTTTACAAAGCTCGGTTGAAAGGTTCTGTAGTTGCGGTTAAAGTGCCCAAAGACGAGATAAGTAGGGAGGTTCTAGCATCCTTCAGAAAAGAAATGGAATTGATGAAACAGTCACACAGCCCAAACGTGGTACTGTTCATTGGGATTTCAAAAGATGGGAACAACCCCATATTTGTCACTGAGTTTGTGAAGTCTGATTTGGACCATTTCGTACACGACCGAGACACTCTCCCAATTGAATATTTAAAGAAGAAGTTTGATCTTTCTCTTAAATTTGATTTGTTCCATCAGTGTTGTGTTGGAGTACAGTGGCTCCACAATAGACTCAACTTGATACACAGAGATATTAAACCCGCCAATTTCTTGTTAGACGAGAACTTTTTAGTGAAGGTGTGCGACTTTGGGTTTGCAGAGAGTGTCAAAGAGTCGAAACATGAAGACAAAGGGTCACCCATATACTGTGCGCCAGAAGTTATGGATTACGACGGAACTCATCCATATAGTAAAGAGATTGATATATATTCCCTTGGTATCACGATGTGGGAACTGTTCTATGAAGGCTACCCATTTGGTGAACGACCCGAAATTGATACGCGAGAGCGATTAATATATGAATTAAAAAGAGGAGTCCGACCGACTTTGCCGATTACCTTTGTAGAGAAATATGGAAAAGATAGTAGTCAAAAGGCGATTCTTGAGTATGCACAGAATACTTTGGGACGTTTTTCTATCGAAATTCCAAGAACAGTCGAGGACTTGATAGCTACTTGTTGGGACAGCGATGGCAAAAAAAGACCGGATATCAACCAACTCACTGAAAGTGTCCAAAAATTGAAAGTGGAATGCGCACTTGGAAATGCGACAGCCTCCGAGTGGTGGAAGAAGACGTTTGAGAAGAAAGGGATAAGTGAGGACAGTGTTCTTGTTGAAGACTTTGTGAAGGCGCTTCAAAAGGCTTTCAAACCAAAAGACACTGTTATTCAGTTGTTAAAACAGAACGTCGGAATTTCAAACGAAGTCGATTTGCAACGATTTGAATATTTGACGGCTTCTTTTGGGAACTTTTACAACAACAAAGATGCCTTCAAAAAGATGGTTGAAGCATATGGCTCGGATTGGTGGTTCCCTTTTTATTCAAAAGAAGAAGCTGTTTCGCAATTAGAAGGAAGAGTTGATGGCACTTTTCTAGTGAGAGAAAGCACAAGTGTTAAAGGATCTCCTTTTACCATTTCAAAGAGAACTCGTGGTAAAACTACACATGTCAGAATCAACACAAGGGCGGTTGGTAAAGGTCTCGAGTACTCTGTTGCTTTACAAACTAGTAAAACGGTACACTCCGACTTGTGTACACTCATCACTGCACTCATGGCTATGAGTGTGATTTCAGAACCGTGCACAAAGGAGTCGGCTCCTTCTCAATATTAATTGCACTGTTTTCTTCTTTAGCAGTGGTCTGGTTGTGTATCTTACAACGGGTTTTATTATAAAAATATAATTAAAGAACTATAAAATATACTATAAAATATCTGAAGGTTTTGTATAGTTTTGGAACTTTAAATAAATAACTCGGTGGATGGCAGACGTGGAGGATATCATTTGCGACGCACAAGACGCTTTTTTTGAAGGAAAGTACGAAGAAGCAATTTCACTCTGTTTGAAAGCACTCGAAGAAGGAAATGACGACGATGTGTACGAGTTGTTAGTTCTTTCACATTTTGAACGAAATGATTACACAAGCGCGTTTGAGAGTGCTGAAAGGTGGTACAAAGTCGCAAAAAGATTGAATAAAGTGAGGGCGCGTCTTGCATTACTAAGGTCGTCGTATTTGATTGACAACAAACAAAGTTTTGAGACGGTTGCTGTTGAGATGTTAGGCATAAATGAGTCGAAAAGTGAAGTGGCGTGTCTCTACCTCGACATGTTCCCAGAGAAAAGCAATTACATCTTAAATTTGTTAGCAAAAGACACTGACGAATTCTGTGGAGCGATCGTAAGACGTCTTGAAGGTAAAATCGCTGTAAGTGAAGAAGACGTAGAATTGAGACAATGTGGGAATGAGGCTTATTCAATTGGGGTCATCGCAAACACTGCATTGCTCAGTAAATGTGTTATTCCAGAAGAAGACATCGAAAGAATTAAAGTTTGGGAAAAACTGGGAGCTGAACTCCCCTATGTCCGCGACTCAGTGACTTTTCTTCGACATCTTCCTCTCGAAAAGCAACGGGGAGTGCACTTCATATTCAGAAAACACTGTAAGCCTCAGTAGTTTATTTATAGTTTATTAAACGAGAATTAATGGTACTTTTTTAAAATTATGGTATTAATAACAATAGGAAAAATATGGTACAATTAATTTCAATCTGAAAACTTGTTATTTTGTGGTATATAAAGAAAAAGAACTTGATATTAAAAAGAAATGTCGCTTGTGATCTACACTTCATCCACTGGTGGCAACGTCGTACAAAAGAAAAACACATCCCTTGAGAACATCGTTCAGATCCTTGCCAAAAAGAAACCTGAAATCAAGTTCATCGATGTCGATCCAGAAGCTAGAAAATTTGCACAAGAGAAAAGTGGGAGAAAGGCTGATTGGCCACTCTTGTTCAACGGAGAGAAGTGCATCGGAAACGCAGAGGACGTCGACGACTTGAACGAAGCCGGTCAACTCGCTGCTCTTTTGAAATAACTTAGTAGTTCATTTATAATTATTTTACTATATATTTTATTATAATTTGTTTTTTTAATTTATTAACAAATAATTATAATAAATATATTTGCATAATTGGTAGCGCCAGTATTATAATATAAAATAGTTTAATTTATTATAATAAATTAAAGAAAAAAAGTCTTTTGAAAAAAAAATAATATTATTAATAGTATAATAAACGTTCAAGTATAGTTTAAATATGGCTAATAAGTAAAATATTATATATCATATAAGCTAAAATTGTTAAAACATTTTTGGTTTTGAAAAACGGATGAGGGAAGTAGAAGAAATTAGAACTTTTCAAAAAGACAAACATGTTGTCTTATTTCCATTCATATCTTTTTGATGAGTTTTACTACTCGTAACTCCTCACAAAAATTTTTAACAAATTAATAAGAAATTTCTTTCTTTTTCAAAGTGTTCGACCAGTATATTACAACATCATATAAAAGGAACTCATCTATAAAGAAAAGAAATTGTCACATGGTTGCAGCTGCGTTGATATTTATGTTTATTGTTAACATTCGTGCTGACTGGACGGATACATATACAAAGGCGAATTTCACCCTCGCAACTGTACTCATTTGGGGTGGTCTTTTTGTGGTTTTAATTGGTCTTTCTATGCTCGTTACTGCTGTGTTGGTTGTTCCCCGTTACATCATGAAAAAGATACGAGAAAGAAAGGTAAAGAAAGAAGAGGAAGAAAAGAAAGAGGAAACGAAGGAAGAAGATGCGAATTAACTGATGTATGTATTTATATATTACATTATCTATTTACCATTTAAAGAAACTATAAACAGTATTATTATAAACTATAAATGAAGAAGTAGAAAGTGGCTTAGATGTCTACTTTGATTCTGAAATAATCACCCGGCATACCACAGAGTGGGCAATTCTTTGGAGCTTGAGTTCCCTCGAAAATGAAACCACACTCTCTGCAAACCCAGAAAACTTTCGAGTCTTTCTTGTAAAGGTTGTTGGCTTTCAATTCGTCAAGAATCTTTTGGTATCTAGCATGATGGTTTTCTTCAGCTCTAGTGATCAAGTTGAGCTTAGTAGCAATAAGAGTGTGTCCTTCTTCCTTGGCTACTTTGGCGAACTCTGGGTACATAATGGTGTGTTCATAAGTCTCGCCTGCAATTGCTGCCATCAAGTTGGTTGCAGTGTCACCAAAGTCTATTGGAACTTCAGCCTCAATTTTCGGGGTCTCTTGGCCTTCCTTCTTAAGGGATTGAATCATCTCAAAAAGAAGTCTGGCGTGGGTACCTTCTTGATCAGCAGTTTCTACAAAGAGCTTGGCAATCACATCAAGACCTTCTTTGGCAGCAGCCTTTGAATAGATCAAATAACGATTTCTTGCTTGAGACTCGCCTGCAAATGCTTTACACAAGTTAATGAGAGTGGACATTGGTGAAATTCAGATTACCAAGAACCTTTATATACTCTTTTTAAGTTACAAAAAGTACATTTCGAACAGTACGACGGATTCTTGGAGTTGATTCAGTTATGGAAATGGTCAAAAAAAGAAAACTGGACATTAGCTTTCTATTAATAGAAAGGTTGATCTAGTTTCTGAAACCAAACAAATAACACTTTCATGTTCTCTAATTAACTGTGTTTGGTTGTTCTATTTTTACAAGAAGTTTTGTATCGACCAGAAAAAGTGAAAGAGAGCTCTTCACAAAATACAAAGCATTTTTTGGTACTTCAGTATTTGAATAAATACAACAACCTACACTTACAAATCTTTTTATTACGAACTAAAACATTTGACTCAATACACAAGTTATTTGTTTACCAAAATTGGTTTGTTTTGGCAGTGCGATTTTCTATAGTCAAAAAGCAAATAATAAAAAGGCAAACCCACACGTTTTAACACGGTAATTGCTTCACATTTCAGATGTAAAATTAAAAGTGTAACAAAACAACAGAAAACTTCAACCCAAAAAATGAAAAGTTTAATAAGTGAATATCACTCTTCTGATACGTCAGACTCTTTGTAATTGTCATATTCCATAGTAAACGTCTTAAAGTTTTTCACTTCTTCAAACTCAGTCACTTTTTTTCTTTTCACACGCTTTGGCACTGCTGCGCTCTTCACGTTTTTCCCAGGTGATGGAAGGTCCTCTTCTTCGACTTCTTCAATTGTTTTCACTACTTTCCCAAGCTTCCCGGATACTTTTTTTGCTACTTTTCCAATAGCAGAAACTTGAGACGAGGCTTCTTCTAACACCTTGGTTTGTCCTTTACACACCTTTCCACTAGTTACTCGTTTCCCAACTTTTCCACTTATATTTGGCGCTTCAACTTTAACTTCTTCGGCCTCGGGCTCTTCTTCAACAACGCACCGCTTCACTACTTTACCGACTTGTGTGTGTGTGTTGACAACTTTCCCTGTTGGTACTAAAACCTCTTCTTCTGGCTCCTCAACATTTTTTTCGACGTGTCCTTTAGCCACTTTACCGATCTTTCCTGTTGTCTTCTTAGTCACTTTTCCTGTTGGCTGAGACACTTCAATCTTTTCTTCAATGTTCTCTTCGACATGTCCTTTAACTACTTTCCCGACCTTCCCTGATGCCTTTTTGGTCACCTTACCAGATGGGACTTCCACTTCTTCTTTTTTCTCTTCTTGGTCTTCTTCAACGATATGCACTTTTGCAACTTTCCCTAACTTTCCAGAGGTAGCTCCTTTCACTACTTTTTTGGCAACTTTACCAGAAGAAACCACAGGCACACTTTCTTTTTCGACTTCTTCTTTGACAACAGCCCCCTTCACTATTTTGGCACTTTTACACATCTTCCCAGAAGTGGCACCCTTCACTACCTTTTTGGCCGTCTTTCCACTTGGCGCACTTGGCGACGGACTTTTTTCAGTCTTTGTATTGGTATCCTCATCGAGTGGAGTTGCGTATTTAAATTCAATTTCACTGCCATCCACTTTACTTCGGCGGAAGCACTTTCCTAAGTAAATGGGAGTCTCGTCACGAGTGTACTTTTTAGTATCAAATTTGATCTTTCTGTAATAGCCGGGTTGCTCGATTTCTGGTTCAACAACAGTGACCATTGGTTTAAACTCGGCCTCAAATCGCTTCTCGTCTTCCGCAGTTGCTCTTTTAACTTCTTTCTTCTTTGCTGTTTTCTTCTTGGCAACTTTCTTTGCAGTTTGTGCGAACTTTGGAGCAACGAGTGCGCCGGTCTCTGCAGATCGTCTAAACGCACTCTTACATGTGACGGGGTACTCCGCGTTCGAAAGTGAAGCGACATACCCTTCTCCTTGTACAAATGAAGACGACGCAACTGCGATCTTACACCCTTTATGAGCAAAGAATGTAGCAACGAACTTACTGTCTTCACTCGAAACAAGTCTGTTTTGGACTAATTTGTCGTTCACAATCTTTTTAACTACTTTCTTGCGACGAGTTGTCTTCTTCAGACTTTTCTCGTGTTGCTTGGAGGTGTCATTTAAAACTACTAACTTCCCCGTCTTTTCATCTCTTCTGAATGAATAGTTTGTTAATACTAAATATTCTAAATCAGCATTTTGAACGGGACCTTTCAAAAACCTTTCTACTGTCTTTGGAGTGTCTTGTGCACTTGTGGAGTACTCTTTGATCATCCCAGTCTTTTCATCCCTTCTAAAAGAATGTCTGGTCAAGACGATATACTCCCCATCGTCAGTTCTCTGTGGCTCATTTGGTACTTTTGAACGTTGTGGCTTGTCAGGAGTTTCAAGTTTTAAGTCGCAAAGTGGCGTCTCGCGAACAGGACTGACTTTCTTCTTCGAAATTTTTCCAGTGAATTTTGGATTGAGAATAACCTTTCGCTCCACTTTTTCTTCTTCTTCAGCCACTTTCTCAACTTTCACTTTGGAAATTTTACCCGACAGTGTTGGTCGACTCGAAGATACAGATTCGACTGTTTCCGAGTTTTCTTGTGGCTTTTCAGGCTCTTCTCCTTTTGGTTTTGAAGTACTTCGTTTACCAACTTTGCCTGTTTTTACGTCGTCTACTTTCTCAGTCTTCACTTTTGATATTTTATCAGTTGGTTTGGGTGCAACGACTTCATTACTGTTGGGTGATTCTTCAATCTTTGCTTTTGATACTTTACAACACTTCCCAAACTTGGGTTGAATTGGTAATGTACTTTCTTCAACCTTTTCAACCTTTTCAATATTCTCATCTACTTTCACTGTTGTTTTCTTCCCGCATTTCCCACACTTTGGCTTTTCAGGTTGTTTTTCTTGTGTTTCGACAACAGGAGCGGTGTGTATTTTCGAAACTTTACCAACATGTCGTACTTCTGGTGCTTCATTTTGAGCACGTGTGGCAGTTTTGGTTACTTTCCCACATTTTGGAGTTATAGTGACAGAGGGTGGGAGTTTCCCAATGGTCATATTACTTTGTGTTTCCATTATAAGTTCACAACTAAAAAGCGGAGTTGGTTATTTTAAAGTTAAAATAGTGTGTAATGAAGTGCAAAACCAATTATTAAAAAACCAATGACTGCTGTGTGTTGTTATTTAATTGAATTTCGTATGAATAATAGATTTTTTATGATAAAAATGTTATTCAATTATAATTTCTTTTGTAATACAAATGTATTATATTAAATAGTAAATAAAACTAAAATGAACTCAATTAATGCCAAGTGAGAGTTTGCAGGTCATCACATCCTTTTCGTCACCAAGATGCTTTCCAACGGCATCAGAAAGCTTCACACACCCACTCATTTGATCTTCGTCGTACTCTTTAGCTTTCAACAATTTCATCACGATATTAAGTGGTTTGTTGTCGTTTCCCGTGTCACACGTGAATGAAGTTCCAATACCAAAACTGCACTTGATCTTTCCTTTACAGTAATTTTCTAAGTCAACAGCCTTCTGTGCGTTTAAGCTGTCGGAGAAGACGATGTTCTTGGTCAATGGGTCGATGCCCATTTTGTTATAGAAAGCTATTGCTTTATCTGCGAACACAAATGGAGACTCTGAATCATGTCGAATTCCATCGAAACTTGTTGCGAGTGGGCGCGTGAATTCCCTGAAGAACACGTCAGTTGTGAACGTGTCTGTTAACGCGCAACACAATTTTCCTCTATACAAGTCTCTCCAGTCAGTCAACGCCTTTGTATTAGCTCCTTTATATCCATATGCAGCTGCATAGTACATCATCCACTCATGTGGGTGTGTTCCAATTGGGACCAAATCGTGTTTCATAGCCAACAAGACATTAGAAGAGCCCATGAAGTTCTTTCCAGAGTTTGCTTTCAACAGCTCAACAACTTTCTCGTGAACTTCTTTGGAGAACCGACGTCGTGTTCCAAAGTCGCTGTATATACACCCAGCCGCTGTCAAAGTCTTTGCCTTCTCGACAGTCACTTTATTGATGTGTTCCCAGTCAGGCTTGTGTCCAGTCATCTTTTGATAGAGCTCCGAGACTATTGCAAGAATAGGGACTTCCCATAATGTCATTCGATATAAGTATCCACTACAGTCGATAACTAACTTCTTGTTTTCAAGAGACATTGTCACTTCCTTCGGATCAAATTTGAGGCCTTTCAAAAACTCAATGTATGTGGGTGGGAGGTACTTCAATCCTCTCAAATAAACTTCCTCCTCTTGTGTCAGTTTGAGGTCCGCCATAGCGTCGATCTCTGCGCGGAGCGCAGAAATGAAGCCGTCTGGGAAGTCCATGTGGTTTCTGTCACGGAATGAAAAAACACCAGAGGCATATGGGTGGAGGCAGAAGTATCCATTGCTCACTGTGAATTTGTACAAATCGTTGTCGAGAATACTAGTGATGATTGGCATTAATACTTCTAATTAGATAATGGCTCGTTTTTATTTAGTGGATACTTGGCATGACGTGGATTTTGAAGTTTCTTGTTGAAAAAATTCACTCATATATAATCACTACACAATCTGTTGCAACTCAATCAGAGTTTTATAGTTGGTTGTACTATATATATAGTTTCATTGTCATTGTGTTGTGATTGTTTTGTATTTTTACATTTTAACAACTTTTTAATAAAAAATTTTTAAAATGTTTTTATTTGTTTTTGAAATAAATAATTTTATTGTAAAATGTTTTATTTTTTATATACTAATTATATATAATAAAAAATAATTTCCCAAAAATTACACTAAAAAAACAAGAAGTAAAATTAGTTAAATAATAAACTACATTTATTATCAAAAAAAAAAATATTTTAATTCAATCACTTTTTGATGAAGTATTAAAACGTAGATAAAATATCATTAATTAATAACAAATAACTAATACTTCTCTAAGAAAACAAATTTTAAATACATAGAATAACAAACTAAAATTAATTTTATATAGAATCGCCCAAATGAATGAGTTAGAACTTTAAACTTAATAGCAATAAAATGATCAAAGCCAAAATCTTAACCATCACAGTCAACCAAGAGCAGACGTGTTTTGCAATAGGAACGACGTGTGGGTTTCGAGTATTTGGTATGGAGAACGGGTGGTTTCGCGAGCGGTTCAGTCGGAGTTTGTTCTCCTCTGCTTTAGCTGAACTTTACGAAAACCATAATTTAATTATAACTATGCTAGAGTTCAGTCGATATATAAACCAACAAAAAGTGACGTAAATAGCGTTGGGAGGCGGAGTTGGCATTATAGAACTCTTCCACAAGTCGAATATGTTATCTTTTGTCGGAGGTGGGACCACTCCTGCGTATGACACAAAGAAGGTAATTATATGGGACGATTATCAAGGGAAGCCTTTTGGTGTTCTAGAGTATCCAACGGAGGTCCGTGGGATCAAGATACAGAAAGAGTATCTGTTTGTTGCTGTTGATAGAAAAGTGTATGTGTACAACTTCAAGGACCTTCACCCATTGTACCAGTACACCACTGGAATGAATGGGAAAGGGATCATTGGCGTCAGTGTGTTTGAGAAGAAGCGGATAGTTGTTCCTGGTCAAAATGAAGGGTGTGTCAAAATCGTCGACTTAGAGACGCAAGCCGAAAAAGAATTCCAAGCGCACGTCCACTCACTTTCTGCACTAACATGTGCACCAGACGGCAAAACAGTCGTCACCGCAAGCGCACAAGGCACTCTAATAAGGGTATGGGACTTGGAGACTACACGACAAATAATCGAGTTCAGAAGAGGTCAAGGACAGGCAGATGTGTTCTCAATGAACTTCTCACCAAATTCGGACTTATTGGTTACAACATCTAATAGGGGGACCGTCCACATTTATGGAATCGGAGAACAACAAGAGTGTTACTCGAGGCCATCGAGACTCTCTGCTCTTATGAAAGACAATGGGTTGTATAGTAAATGCGAATGTACAATGGAGAGTGGGGTGTTAAGTGTGGTCTTCTTCTACTGCACACAAATACAGTTCATCAATGTCATTGGGATCACTCAAAATGGGATGTTCTATAAATACATCCTTTCAAAAAAAGAGGACAAGCCACTTCTCACACTCGAGGAGAAGTCTCCTCTCGACCAAGTGCTCAGATAAGTATTAAAACTGACGAATAGATTCAATTGTTATTCTTGTTTTGGAGATTTACATTTTTAGGTTAAGTATCCTTTCTATTGTAATTAAAAAATAATTGAATCTTTTCCTTTTTTTTATTATAGAAATTACTAGTTATATTAATATATTTATAATATTTTATAATACAAAGCCATTAGCTAGTTTTTTTCTCTTGTTTATTCTGTCGAATAAAAGACGGTTCGTTGGATTACAGACAGACAACACGTTTTGAATTTGTTTTGTTTGGTTATTTTATAGTACAGAAAACTATATTGATAAAACAATCCAGTCGCTGGATGTATTTTGTTAAACAAAGAAACCCTATAATTTGGCTTACTAAATTAATAATTGGCCAATAAGGCATTTATAATTATTTGCTACAAATAATCATTAAAAAGACGATATAATAGTGTTTCTTCTTACTCAAAAGGCGAAGATGCTGTTGCAATCTTTAGTGGTTTTGAAAAAAAGAAATGGATTATTGGTACTTTATGTATTTTCAAAATGGCTTTTATCCTTAAAATGTGGCCTCGAACTGTCCAACATACAAAACAAATATTTTGATGCAAGGAAACACTTTTCAAACTTGGGAATTATGAAAACTAAAAACACGATATCCACACGATGTTGCTTGTACTCCTGTTTATAGTAGGTATACATGCCGCATCCCAATGCGTTCCTATAAGCCCTTATTGTAGGGACGGATATAAAATAAATGGGATAACTGCTATTGAAAAGTATGGGTGTGGCGAGGTGTTGGTGTACGACTCGTTTACGCTCACAAAAGACTGTGTGTCCAAATTTGAAACCCCTCCAGTGTTACTTGTGGCTGAAGGAGATGTTATAGAACTCACGTTAGAACAAGGCTTGTTTGATACAGCGGGTGGCATACACTTCAACAAAAACACTCACGTGACACTCAAAGAAGAGCAAAACATTTTTGCATTTCCCACAATCATCTTTGACTCGAGTGTGGAGGTCATATTTACCAAAGATATTACACTGAGGAACATCAACACGACTTTATTAACTTCACAAATCTTTCGAATATTTGGTAGTGCCACAATCATCGACTCCGAAATTTACTTGAACGGAGCGAGTGTGTACTCTAAAAATACTATACACTTCATTGGGACGAAGCTCTTTCTTTTTAATTCGGCGTCTCTGGTCACTCCAATCATCGAGTTTGAGTCATGCCAATTTGATTTGAACTCTCATATCAACTCGTATCCGACAAAAACTTTGCTCGCTTCAACAAAGGTGATATTCTCTGGGAATTCATCTGCTATAATCCCTTCAAAAACAACCATTACCACAAATGATGTTATCATTACTGATACAGCAATGGTCTATTACTCACGTTTGGATAATATAAACGATAAAAAAATCAACTTCATGTTGACTAAAGAAGGTCGAATGAGTGTGAGTGGGTTAATTCTAATGAAAGATACACAACTCAGTGTTTCTGATGATGCTGTTTGTAACATCGAGAAAGATGGGACTGTATCTCTCAAATTTAAAGAGACATATTATGATGGAGGGTTTCTTATTCAAGACAATGGCATTATAAACGTGTATGGAACAGCACAATCTGTTTATAATATTACTATGAAAGGAAGAGGACGAATGAATGTTCTTGCAGATACGACTACAAATGGTGTTGTTGGGATCACTCGACTTGATATTAACATGTTTGACAACTCGTGTATTCATGTTGGGAATGACACTGCTTTTGAGGTTGTAAATCTGATAATGCACGACAACGCGTTACTCGAATTGACCGAGAGATTTGTGATGTATTATATCTTTATTTTTGAAGTTGAAGGAATGAACGTAGTGATGTACAACAACAGCCATATTGTCTATAACTTGACATATGGTAGGAGTTTAGTGGAAATGGCGAACACAAAGATGTACGACGACTCTGTGATTGATATATACACAACGATTAGAACAGTCTTTTATAGTGTCTCTATGGCGGGGAGAAGTAGAGTTAATATCCATGAAGGTTCAAATATAACAATGGCTCAATTCACTATGACAGAAGAGAGTGTCTTTGACATGAGAGATTATACAAGAGTGATGATATCAACACTTGCAGTGTGTAAAACGTGTGTATTCAAAAAAGCGGCAAAGTCTATATTAACTGAGAGGTGTACAGACACTAATTATGACAACGATGATTGTCTCTTTGACGAGTCCATTTGGACTTTTGACGGGTTTGCAGTGGATGCAACAGACAGACAGAGTGGGTATTCAGTTATTAATATGTATGTCTCCACTCTGACATTTAATCAAGAAACACTTGAAGGTGCGTTGTTGCCCACAGACCATTGCACAGACTTATTTTCAATTACAAGTGAAATCGAAGAGTTACCTTTTCAATTGAGTAACCCCCAAATATTGAGTCTCATGGACGGGTATTTGATTAGATATTGCCCTGTTAATGTGACAGAGACTGAAACCTTCTGTCGATTGATTGGAACAACTTGGAATGACGACCATCTCTATCATGCAGAATACCCATTTGCACAAGTACATTGTCCATATGCGGGTGTCAAAATAATCAGTGAAGTTGACGAGGTGTACATTGGTGACTTTGGTGTCGAAGCGTATTTTTTAAATAACACAAAGGTCATATTTACCACTAAGGCTTCACTCAAACGTAATGTGACTGGTAAAGTCCAAGAAGTGACATTTCCTACTGGACTTACTCTTAAACCAAGTTGCGACACAATTGAAACTGTTGAAGTCATTTCTGAAAAAGATGGGGCATACAGCTATACACAGACTTGTACTGTGAAGACAACCCCCAAAGGCGAACAAATAAAAGGAAGTATTGTGATGGACTCTGTGGAATACAATGTCAAAGCGGACTCTGCATTTGTCATTTATACAGGTAACCAGATAACACCAAATACACTCATAGTTAATGTGAGCACTGAAGTAATAGTTATAAGTGACATTGGATTTATCATCCCGACATCAAATTCAAGTGAATTGTGTCTCTTTGGTATTTTCAAGAATGGGGTATTGAGTTGCAATCAAAAACGGTTTTTAGAGTGTGGAGATGGATACTTCCCAAAAGTGAGTGAGTGTATTGTGTGTACTGTGACTAATTGTATTCGGTGTACCGAGACGACTTGTTTACTTTGCAAAGAAGGGTATATAATGACTAATGGTTCTTGCGTTGACAAACAGAGCACATGCCTCAAGTCGAAATTGAATCGGTGTTTCAATTGTAATCAAGGATACAGTTTAGAGGATGGAGTATGTTACCAAGAGTCTCCCCTTGCGAATTGTCTTGTGAGTACATATGGATATTGCACGAGTTGCGACTATGTAAATCGGTATGTCAGCCGAAATGGGTCATGTGTGTATAAAGATCAAGCGAAATTGCTGAGTCGGTATGATGTCATTACATGTATGACAAAATACACATTACGACAAGGAGAATGTGTGCCATGTTCTGGTCTCTTTACTCATTGTAATACATGTTCCGATATTCTCTGCACTGAATGCGAAGAAGGATATGTAGTCAACGAAGATGGAAGTTGCGAAAACAAAAACTGTTTGAACACGACAAGTCCTGAAATGTTGTGTGAAGCGTGTGCGGAGGGGTATGTGTTAGATTTGGGAGGGCACTGCGTCCCATTCCAACAAAATTGTTTGTATTACAACAACGATAAATGTCTTGCTTGTGAGAGTCCGTATTACATGACGAATGGAGGGTGTTATACACACATATCCAATTGTATTGATTTGCAACAGTCTGGCTGTTTTAGATGTAAGGACGGGTTTTATTTGAACGAAGAATATGTCTGCGTCGCGTGTGACAAGAATTGTAAAACGTGCAGTGGGACTGCAACACATTGCCAGTCGTGTTATGACAATACCTATCTGAATGAGAACACGTGCATCACATCAACAGTGTTAAATAACACATGTCAAAAGTACACGATCAATGGTATTTGTGTGCGGTGCATCGACAAATATTACTTGGACAACGTCACGTGCTCGAAGTGTATGGATGAGTGTGGGACGTGCAACGAACCCGACTCTTGTTTGGTGTGCGATTATAACCGATTTATGAGTGTCAACGGAAAGTGCTTACTCCAGAGCTTAATTCATGACTGTGCTGTTGATATATCCGTGTCACACGGATGCACAGAATGTAAAAATGGGAGTTTTCTGCATGAGAGAATGTGTACTCCATGTCAAGACAATTGTATGTTGTGCTCCGACTTGAATTCGTGTCAAATGTGTCATGACAATTTTGTGTATAAGAAAGGGGAGTGTACGTCGTATGCGACAATTAAGAAATGTTCTTCTGCAAAAGGCAATAAATGCGACAAATGTTCGTTCTGGTACAAACCAAGCCCTGATGGGTTATACTGTGAGTCGACTCCGGTATGGTGGGTCATCATGTTATGTGTAGTTGTAGGGGTGTTCATGTTTGTAGTGATATTAGTGATGATTATTTGGATGACAATTGTTGTTCTACGGAATGCGATTCGCAACAAGGCACTGGACAAAATGGTTTTCAGTCTTAAAAACGATAAGAACTTAACAGTCAATTTAGTCGAGAATGTCTTCACTGGAACCAAAGAACTTGTTTTTGAAGCAGAAGAACATTTGGTACCAGTGAACGTGCCAAGTGTGACGAGTTTTGTCATTGGTAATTACGGGAAGAGTGCTGTTCGTATTCAAATGAAGAACAAGACTGTGGAAGACAAGTACACAATTGTGGTTCAACCCGAAGTCGTTATTTTGAAGAGGAAACAGGGGTGCAAATTCACTGTTACACTGAGCCCGGTGTGTTCGTGTAAGGTGAACGACTGCATTTCTATATCTATTAACAACTTTAAAACAACTAAAGGGGTGGGTGTCACCATACCAATTCATGCGGAGACTGTGATGTCGACGAGTCTTGACCAAAGTGAAATTAGCATCTCAAAGCAAATTGGCGAAGGGTCCTTTGGAAAGGTATTTAAAGGTGTTTTTAGAGGCAATGAAGTTGCTGTCAAAATAATGAAACAAATCAACATAGAAGCGTCGACGATAGAAGAGTTTGAGAAGGAAGTTGCGATGTTGGACAAATTCAGATGCGACTATATCATTCACTTCTATGGGAGTGTGCGGTCCAAAATGAACATTGGTATCGTCACTGAATTTGCACCACTGGGGTGTTTGAGGGATCACTTCTACAAAAGTGTCCCCGCCGAAATGGTGCGAATCAAAATTATGTTGGACATTGCAAAGGCTTTACAGTACTTGCATGAGAGTGGGATCTTACATCGAGACATTAAACCAGACAATGTCTTGGTGTTCGATTTAAATAAAGTAGCCACCGTCAATGGTAAACTCACTGATTTTGGATCATCGCGAAATATCAATTTGTTGATGACTAACATGACCTTCACAAAAGGTGTTGGCACCCCAGTGTATATGCCACCTGAGATGTTTGGCAATATGAAGTACAAAACAGAAGCAGACATTTATGCGTATGGAGTCACTTTACTTGAAGGCATTAAGTGGCGCGAGTGCTTTGAAGGCAATCAATTCAAGTACACGTGGCAGATTGCAGAGTTCGTTAACAAAGGGAATCGTCCACCCCGTCCTTCAGAAGTCCGTGAAGACATCTTTACATTAGTAGAAGAGTGTTGGGCACACGACACCAAGAAGCGCCCACCAATTCATATTGTAGTCGAGCGTCTTGACTCTTTCATGAGAAGTGCACAAGAACCCAAACAAGAACTTCAGAACGAAGTTCCTTCCGTTTAAACCATTGTATAAAACACATATTATGTAATGAAACAATAACAAATGAAACATAGCTTCAATGAATAGATGTATCTTAAAGCATAGGAACCATATCACCCATCGAGCGTCTGAAGAAATCACAACTCTTCGGATCCATCTTACAAGTGACATCAAGAACGTCTCGATATTTTGCGATTGCTTGATAGTTATGTTCAAACTTCTTCGCCATTCCCTTCACAGTCTTTCTTACCATCTTTCCTTCGATTCTCTTCTCCAAGTTCTTCTTCAACTGATCTTGCTTCTTATTATATCTTCTCATGATCTTCTTCGAGATGTGTTTGACCTTTCCGTGTAATTTCATCGCAAGCTTCTTACATGTCTTCTTCCCAAGTCTCATTCTCTTGCAAATTCTCTTGATCATTCGTGCAGTTTGTTTTTGGAATCGCTTTGCGTTGTATTTGTTCTTCTCTGCGATACGCCCGATTTTCATGTCAGCGATGTTCAAGGCCTTCAGAACCTTTTTCTCCAAACCGACTCTTCTCTTTGCTTTCAAAATTCGCTTGACCATCTTATGTGCCTTCTTGGCCGCAATTAATTGAGTGAAGTGCTTTCCTTCTCTCACGGCAGTCTTGACTATCATCTTTCTGATTCGTTTTGATTGTTCGACAAGTGCTTTCAATTCGGTCGTTAACTCTTGTTTCTTCTTCGGGTCTTGTTCCTTTTGAATCAATTCGATTTTCATCACTATTTGCTTCTTCAGTCCTTTAAAGATTCTTCTGTTCGTGTCCATACGAGAAGACGCGCGAAGTACTTTCGCTTGAATTGCTGCGACTGAGCGAATGTGAAGCTGTTTTTGTAATGTGCGTTTAGCGCGTTTCAATCGCAAATAGTCTCTGTAGCGGTGGCCATTCGACTCTTTCATTCGCGACATCCGTTTTGCTTTGCGTTGTTGCTTGCGTTGCCACTTTCTCATTTGACGTCTCCACTGTTTATACCAGTGGCGCTGTAACCACCAATTTCGTTTCGCATACCAATGCTTGTGTGCATGTTTGGGCTTGTCCTCCAACTCAAACTCCTCCGTGTTGTCCTCTAAAGTTGTAGCGTCTTCAACCAAAACATCTTCTTCGAGCTCAGATGAACTCACCGAAGTCGATGATACACAAGTTATGTACAGAGCAATTAATAACCAAACGAGTGCCCTCATTTATAGAAAAATATATTTGAAGTTCTTTTCTTTTCAAGTTTCCTTGATTTTTTAATTTTTTTTTATCAGTCTTGTTCTGTTATTTTCGAGTTTGCTCTTTTTATACTTTTTTTTTCGTTCTGTTGTTGAGTTATTTATATTTGTATAATATATTTACTAGATTGTTACTATAGTTTTGGTAGTAAAAGATAAAATAAACCAAAAAAATGGTGTCGATGAAAAATTGAATAAAATAATAAAACTATATGTTTATGGTTAAATTATCATATAAAAATAGTTCAATCACAAACAGTTGAATGTAGTAAAATATAGTTTTGATATGGTTTAATACAACAACCCTAACTTTTTTTTTGGTATAAAAAGAAATAGCTTTAAACAAAAATCACGTTAAACACTCGGCTTGATATTGCACACAAAAAATATTTTTTGAATGAGTAAGATAGCCGTAGATAAGAAGAGTGCTACTAGCTTTTTGCTTATGCAAAAGTGCTAGTTAACTCTTAACATCTTATTATTTGTTCTTTTTTATTTTAATCTGGTAATTTATTTGTTTTTAGTTTAATTTTGTTTTACAGTTAGTTCGGATTCAAATGAAACAAGTCTCATAATAAATTGAATTTGTCTCAAAACAAATTAAAATTGCACCTATATTCAATTTTGTTTCAAAACAATAAAAATTTGTCTCATTACTTTGTAATTTGTCCCAATAAAAAACAAAAGTGTTTCAAAATGATATAATGTTTCAAAATAATATTAAAATGTCCTAAAAGTAAAAAAATTTGTCTCATAAATGTGTAATTTTGTTCGATAAAGATTGTAACACTCTTTAAAAAATAATAAAAATATACACACATACTCTCTTTTGATAAAAGGATTTTGAAATTAAATAATTAATAACACTTTAAAAAATCAAAACTTGCTTTTAAATAATGAACAACTTAAAAAATATGTTACTTTAAGAAATTGTAAAATTTGTTCGTGAAGTTCGAACAATTTTTTGTTTTTTAAATTATCAATTAGATTAAATACAACTTGGTGAGTTACCATCATAAAATGCTTTTGAAAGCAACACATGCAAATAACAACAACTTTACTACCAACAACACAAACTCCAATAATAACATCGAAACCTTAAAAACTTGATGTGTAAGCGGCACACAATTATTTTTCCGTCTTTATTAAAAACTTTATATAAAAAGTATATTAACGATGTATCACTAAATATTTAAAAACATAAATTTTATTGAGATAATACTAAGTCATATAAACAAGAGTAAAATAACAATATTCAATATGCTATTGAATATAACCGGAAGTTTCAAGTAGATGATAATAATTTGAAAAATGTGTTGATTATTTCATTAGACTAGTCGCGTTAAAATTACTCGCTCGAGGTGTTCTTTAAGTATTTTTTAGTTGTAAATATAAATTAAACATTAAAGTTTTATCAAAAGAGAGTATGTGTGTATATTTTTATTGTTTTTTAAAGAGTGTTACAATCTTTATCGAACAAAATTACACATTTATGAGACAAATTTTTTTACTTTTAGGACATTTTAATATTATTTTGAAACATTATATCATTTTGAAACACTTTTGTTTTTTATTGGGACAAATTACAAAGTAATGAGACAAATTTTTATTGTTTTGAAACAAAATTGAATATAGGTGCAATTTTAATTTGTTTTGAGACAAATTCAATTTATTATGAGACTTGTTTCATTTGAATCCGAACTAACTGTAAAATAGAATTAAAAAAATTAACGAGTTTTTTACTCAAATAAAAATAAAAATTAGTTTGAAACAAGAAATATAATTTAAAACGTTCGAATAAGATATAAAAATGAATAAAAAGAACTCGTTAATTAACAATGTCAAGAAACTAAAAAATGTAGTTTTCAAGCTATTAAATCTTGTATACTTCAATTAATGGTGTTTTGTTGCATACCATTATGATCTTTGTTTTTATTACAGTTGTATGATAAATTACAATAAGCTATTCTTCCTTTAAAAGATATGAAAAGATAAACAAATGAAATAATACCCAATTTCCAGTAACAAAAACATATGAGCTAAAAATGACTGACGTCGTGGCGCATTTATTTGCTTTGTAAAAAGTGCTATATTTATAGTAGTAAACTTCTAGTAATTATGATTTGGAAACCAATAATTTAAAATGTGCCATTAAAAGAAATGCTGTGTGATCTTGTGATATCAGATGGAGGCCATATTAAATAAAATCATTTTCCAATGCACAGCGTTTAAAAACAAACTGCCCGACTATATTCGAGCTCAAAACATTACTTATATCAAAGATAGAGAAGATATCCCAATTGCAGAGAGAATCAAAGTGGCTGAGGAGAATTTGGAACATTTTAACGACTACCATGCGAAAGGTGAGGCAGTTAAAGGAGACTTGAACGACCTCCGCTTGGACTTGGACGCATTGATGCACGAATTGAGTGAAGAAGTTAGGAAGTATGAAGACAAAGAAGGATCTTATAACACATTGATAGACACACTGGTCTATTTGGAACAAAAAAAGGCACAACAAGAAAAACAAATTCTTCAAACCCAAATTGATGAAATCGACAGCACTTTCCGAGTCAAAGAGAAGTCTTTAGAAACGAAGAAAAAGCAGATTTCTATCAACGGAACACTCGACGAAGAAGAAGTCAGTAAAATCAAAGAGTGGAGTGGCAAGAATGTGACGAATGTCCTCTTCGATTCAAACGTCGACGACTGGGGGACAAGTGCTGTTTTCAATAGAAAAGTTGTTGGGCGTAAAGAAGTGGTCGTTGTCGTTGAAGACATGAAAGGAAACAAATTTGGGGGCGTCATATTTAAAACAATTCAAGCGGAAGACTTGAACACGGCAGATCCACAAGCATTCGCGTTTGTATTAAAAACTAAAGGAAAGATCAAAGGAGCATCTAAGTTCAAAATATTGGAGGCACATACTAATTATGCTTTTGGATGTTATAAGGACGACCATCCTCGACTCTTTTATATCACGAATTGTATATTCGTGATGAAAAGAGGAGAGGAGGGAAGTAATTGCATATCAGGAATCACTGAAATCCCGGTCAAAACCAATTTCTGTGGGGGAGTTAACTTCACTCCAAAAAGAATTCTTGTCTTCCAACTCCATTGATTTTCTGTGTGTTTTAACGGAGTTATAAGTCTTTAATTTTATGACATTTTTTGGTTGGATGTATTGGAATATGACGATTTGATTGTTGATATCATTGAAACTATAATTTATAAATAAGCTGTTCTATTTCATTTATAATTTAAAAAAATGGAAATATTGTACTTGTTGAATATAAAGTTTGTTTTGGAGAAAGATAACTATAAGTATAATAAAAAAAATTAAAAATATAGTTTTATTTGAGATACTAATAACATGTTTCTATTTGAATAAATAGACAGTAATGCAGACAGTGTCTGGGTATATTTAATGTAGTCAAAAGTAAGAGATGGCACTTGTGATAGCGAAGAAAGAGTGTAGAATAGTCATCACAAAAGTGTTTGAATAGAAATTAGTATTAAGATAACAAATGGAATAAAAGAAGGTATAAACTTTAAAATGAACAAGATGTTATTTGAAGTAATTCTTACTATTACAATTTGTGTTATAACAATTCTGTATATTATTCGTCCTAGCCCTTTGGATACAAAGCTATTTGGAGTGTGGGTGGGCGAAAAGAAAATAGGAGAGACAAGAGTGAGAAGAGATGTATGTGGTAAAGATAAATTGATAGATAGACCCGACCAGGGATACACAACTTTATATGAATTGGTCCAATCTTTTCCAACGAAGGTGCAACCTAAACTGATAGGATATAGAGATGTTGAAGAGAAGATAGCTGTAAAGAAAATACAATGTGATTTGGATGGTAAAAGCGTTGAAAAAATAATGTACAAATATAAGATGAGTGACTATAAGTATTTCTCTACCGTGGAGTATTACACTTTGATACACAAAATTGCAAATGGACTTGCACATTATGGATTTTCAAATGGGGATAAAATAGCAATTTACTGTGAGACAAGATATGAATGGATGGCTTTTGTACTTGCTTGTTCATGTCGAAATATAATTGTAATTACAATATACACAACACTTGGAATAGATTCTGTTAACATTGCACTTGAAGAAAATAATGTAAAAGGTGTCTTGGTATCAGCAGAGACTTATTCAAAAATTTTGTTACTTGAGAGTTTTAAAAAATTGAAATATCAATTGATTTGTTGTGACAATTTAGCTACAAAAAATGTAATTACTATAAACAATATGTTGAATTGTGATAGTTTTGAAGACGACCCACCTCAGCCCGAAGATGTTGCTATGATCATTTACACGTCAGGAACTGCTAAAGAACCAAAAGGTGTTGTTGTACTACATAAAAATCTGTTTGGGATAACATGGAGTTACTGCCATAAAATGGGATACAACTCGACAACACGTTACATCTGTTATTTGCCTTTGGCTCATATCTTTGAATTTACAATTGAAATTTGTGTGTTAGTGAATGGAGGAATTCTTGGATATTCATCCCAAAGAACACTGACACGAGCATACATGCATAACTCCAAATGTGATTTACATGCATTTAACCCAACTTTCATGAACGGTGTACCAACTGTGTTTAATAGAATTCGTAAAGTAATCGAAGATAAAATATCAAAATCTTCTTTTGTGTTACAATATCTATTTACATTAGCCTTTATTATTAAAAAGGAGTTATACGTCAAAATGCAAATGCGCCCAAGACTTCTATATTATCCTTTATTAGAAATGTTGGACATATTGATATTTTCAAAAATTAAAAACGAAATATTTGGAGACACATTAAAATGTGTTATATTGGGAGGATCTCCACTCTCACAAGACTTGCAAGAGTATTTGCAAGTCATATTAAGTGGAGTGGATATCATGCAAGGGTATGGATTGACTGAATCTTGTGGCCCAGTGAGTAACACGGTTCCTGGTGATTCTGTTTGTTGTACTATTGGAGTGCTTTACCCGAACTTTGAGGCGAAATTAGTAGGAGTAGAAGAGATGGGATATTCAGTTGATGGCAAAATCCCACAAGGTGAACTTCTGATTCGAGGTCCATCACTGTTCAAAGAATACTTCAACAGACCAGAAGAAACACAAATGGCAATCACTACAGATGGGTGGTTTAAAACAGGCGACATCGCAGAAATCAGAGAAGATGGACGAATCAGAATCATCGATCGAAAGAAGAACTTGGTCAAACAACCCTGTGGCGAATACGTCTCTCTCGAAAAACTCGAAATGGTTTACAGCGCTTCGAAGTATGTTGAATTATTTTGTGTAATAGCAAGTCAGTATTATGATTACACTGTAGGTCTTGTTGTTATTAATAGGAGTGCTTTGGAAGATTTTTCAATCCAAAGAAATATGAAAAGTGAAGAAACCATTAACAGTCCAGTTTTTAAAGAAGAGGTTTTAAAATCATTCAGGGAAGTTGACAAGTGTCTCTCTTCACATGAAAAGATTAAACATTTTCATATAATCAAAGAAGAATGGACGCCAGAGAACGGGATTCTTACTGCCGCTTTGAAATTACGTAGAAATGTTATTGACAAGAAATATTCAAAACAAATAGCAGAAATGTTTCAAAAAATTTGAAGTAAAAATAAATCAGTGATATTCTTTCTTTAATTCACTTGAAACTTTTTATTTAATATTTATAACGGAATCACTTTTAGAAAAAAAAAAGAAAAATAATAAAGTACTCATTCTTTTTTATTTCAATTGTGCCGATATAAAATAACTATAATTGTCTAAAAAATGATTGATAAAATTAATAATTTATAATAAAAATAATTATAAATGTAGTTCTACACTATACTGACAATTCAAAGTAAAAACACTCCAGAATTGGGCAATACTAATAAAACTACAAAATTCGAATAAACAGTTTGTCTACTTCCTAAGTTTGAACTATACACTGATATAAAAAATATTAGAAATAATAGTTACTTAATAATTCGTCATTAAAAAGAAAGGCAACGCTCCAAATCACGGGGAGTTGACTTTCTTTTTCAGGAAATTGAAATGGATCAGGCGCAGATTAACCTTTTACTCGCTCGAAAAGAAAACTTGAAAAGCAGATAAAAATGTACACCGAGCTTTGTGTTGCACTTGGAGTTGTTATTGCTACCCTTCTTTACTTTTTAAGAACAAAACCAATGGACCAAACACTGTTTGGGTATTGGACGGGAAAGGCTGAAAAGGGAGAATCAAGAATTAGAAGAACTGCAAGTGGAAAAGACGAACTGATTGACAGACCAGACCAAGGCTTTCTTTCACTTTATGAACTGCTCCAAAGCTTCCCTACAAAGGGCAAAAAGGAATTTGTGGGATACAGAACTTGTCTTGAAAAAGTCCCCGCTAAGACTGTCGCAACGACAGAGAATGGAAAGACGATAAATAAGACGATATTCAATTATAAGATGAGTGACTATAAGTACCTCTCCGATAAGGAATACTACAACTATATTAAACAAGTCTCATTTGGGCTAAAGGAACTTGGGTTTAAAAAGGGAGACAAGATTGGAATATACTGCGAAACACGATATGAATGGCTTGCTTTTGTCTTTGCTTGCTCATGCAGAGGAATCACTGTTGTGACTGTGTATGCGACACTTGGTGGAGATTCCGTGAATACAGCACTGGAAGAGACTGGAGTGTGTGCTCTTTTAATATCTGAAGAGACTTTTGATAAGGTGAAACACCTCAAAATATTTGAGAAAGGAATCAAGCTGATATCATGTGATGATATTTCAGAACACGACTTGAACCAGAAAACAAAAGAAAAGACTGAAAAGGAATTTTTGATGGACTACTGGAACAAACACTCATTTACTACTTTGAGTAAAATTATTGAGTTGACAAAAGAAAGTTGGACTATCAACGCAGAAGGTGTTGTTGAAAGTACTATAACGGACGACCCACCCAAGCCCGAAGATGTTGCTATGATCATTTACACGTCAGGAACTGCTAAAGAACCAAAAGGTGTTGTGGCTCTTCATAAAAATTTGTTGCCAATCACATGGAGTTATTACCATAAAATGGGATACAACTCGACAACACGTTACATCTGTTATTTGCCTTTGGCTCATATCTTTGAATTAGCTGTTGAGTTGTGTAATTTGGTATACAGTGGAACAATTGGATATTCATCGCAAAGAACATTGACACAAGCATACATGCATAACTCCAAATGTGATTTACACGCATTTAACCCAACTTTCATGAACGGTGTGCCTTTGGTGTTCAATAGAATCAAAAAAATTCTTGTTGATAAGGTAGATCACTCACCAACTGTCCAACGCCTACTCTTCAATTTGTGTTTTTATATCAAAAGGGAGTTATACGTCAAAATGCAAATGCGCCCAAGACTTCTGTTTTATCCCCTCATCAAACTGACTGATATTTTAGTCTTCAATGGTATCAAGAAAACACTCTTTGGTACATCACTGACTGGTATCATTATGGGAGGATCCCCACTCTCACAAGACTTGCAAGAGTTCCTTCAAGTAGTCCTTGGTGGAGTGGATATCATGCAAGGGTATGGATTGACTGAAGCTTGCGGCCCCGTTGCTAATATGCCACATGGGGATTATGCGTATGCAACTATTGGAGCGCTTTACCCGAACTTTGAGGCGAAATTAGTAGGAGTAGAAGAGATGGGATATTCAGTTGATGGCAAAATCCCACAAGGTGAACTTCTGATTCGAGGTCCATCACTGTTCAAAGAATACTTCAACAGACCAGAAGAAACACAAATGGCAATCACTACAGATGGGTGGTTTAAAACAGGCGACATCGCAGAAATCAGAGAAGATGGACGAATCAGAATCATCGATCGAAAGAAGAACTTGGTCAAACAACCCTGTGGCGAATACGTCTCTCTCGAAAAACTCGAAATGGTTTACAGCGCAGCCAAAGAGGTGGAAAGCTTTTTCGCGATAGCAAGTGGGTTATACGACTTCACTGTAGGTCTTGTTAAAGTGCAGAAAACTGTGTTGTTGGATTTTTGCAAAGAGAATAACATGAGTGAGAAGGAAGCTATTGATAGTCCAGTTTTTGAGAAATACGTGCTTGGGAGGCTCAGAGTTGTCGACAAAGAACTTAACAGTAGAGAGAAGGTAAAATACATTAAAGTTATAGAAGAAGAGTGGTCACCAGAGACTGGAGAATTAACAGCTGCACTTAAGTTTAAGCGAAATTTCATAGCAAGCAAATACAAGAGTACCATAGATAAGTTATTTGCGGAGTGCTGTTGTTTTTTTAATAATTACAATATCTATATATTTATAAAACAAATAATTTAAATTATTAATAACAATTTCTGTTATTAATATTCTATTGAAGTGTTTAAATGATTTTTATTTTATTAATAAACATCAAAGAAAGTAAATAAAAAACAAATAGATTTAAATTACAAAGAAAGGAATGATGTGTATTTTTTTATTTAAAAGTCTAATGAACTTGAAAATAATTATGTCAATTTCAGACTATTTTGAAAGACTACAACAAGACACACTAAACACCCTTAAAACAACACTTCAATCGTTTCATTCCAACTTTGAGTCACTTGCATGTTCTATTAGATATGATGCAAAATTCTGTAAACAATTTGTAAACGCTTTATCTTTCGAAATTTTATCTTCTGCTAAAAACAAAAGGATTGGCTTTGTTGAAATGGTTAAACAACAAAATAAACAACATCAATTATACTTTGACTTAATGGACAAAATCGATAAATATGTAGTGACGCTATGCGATCTACTCAGCAAAGAACCAAACACCGAAGATTTGTTAAAAGTCTATTATCTATTTTTTAACACTCTATCAGACGTCCTAGAGAGTACAAGGTATCACAACAATTCACCTGAGACAGATTATTTCTTCAAACAACTTGATAAAGCAAAGTCGAATAAATTTTTGGCTAAATCCATAATCACACCCGAATCATTTCGTGGAGAGAAAACTGTCCCAATGGCGCGGAGAGTACTCAATAAAATGTTGTTGATCGAGACTTTATTGAACCAATTTTATTTGTTTAACAATACCATGATTGTGGCCCCAATGTCACACCAAAATAACTTATTTTCACAACTACCGATACAGCGATATGAGACATGTAATCCTTATTCAAATAGACGCAAATTTATAATGCACATTGGTAATTATTTTGTTAATGAAAACTTAACTGGCACATCGTTTATAACAGAAGAAAGTATAAAAACACAAGTCACAGCAGTTTACACCTTATTTGACAAATTTAGAAACGTTTCTTCTTTCAATGAGTTGAAAAATATTGTCATTCCAATTCTTCCATTACTTGAAAATGATCAAAACATAAATAATAAGAGTGTGACTCTAGAGATGTGTATGAACCCAGTTGTACCAAAGGGATCTATTGAAGATGATATTCCCCCACATGCAAACGAGTTGGATGTGAAAAAGAATGAACTGGGACGCGTCAGTGATCAACAAAAACAAAATGAAACTTCTCTGACTGCCATTGAAAGGGCAGCTACTGTAATCGCCAAAAACAAAGAAAAAGCCGAAGAGTATCAAAAAATGTTAAAAACTGAATTAGACAAGAGGGTGTTAGAAGAGAAAGACACGACTGTTTTCACGGTAACATTCGAGGAGTATTTCATGGGTTGTGTGAAACAAGTTGCTATTAAAAATACGGACAACACCATCACAATTACTAAGTTCAACATTTCACCAGAACTTCTGGACGGCACTTTGTTTGTTGTGAATGGCAGGAAATTTAGAATGAAAGTTGTTCATCCACGTTTCAGACGACATAACAACGACGTCTTCTGTTACTTGAAAAATGAAGAGATCAACACGGTATTTAAAAACATCGTCGAAACACCCGAGTTTATGCCAATCAGTTTCAACGCAGAAGAAGTCAATGGAAAAGAAATGCGAGTAAAGTCTATTGGGTTCAAAACGAAAAATGGTGCTGGCGACTTTGTTATAAAAAAGGTAGATGGGCCGATACCCAATAACTTTCCATCAGAAATTGACACACAAAGAAAAAATGAAAAGACGCTATGGGAAAATGCTTTTAATCTCATCAAAGATATTAATGAGGCACTACACACCAATTTCTTACAAAGTGACCAATGTAAAAAAGAAGGAGAAAAATTGAAAACTGAATATGACCGCTTGACAAAAGAAAAAGTCGAGTTGGAAGAACGCGTTGAAAAGGAGAAAGAGGAAATACAACAGAAACAAATTGAAGAGGAAAAATTGCAAAAAGAACAAGAAAAAGAAGTTGAAAATTTACTGAAGGTGGCAACTGAGGAAAAAAGAATTGTTACAAGAGAGCACAAAACAGATTTTAACGTTATTGAATATGGAAAAAATAAAACTTATTATTATTACACATACAGGGGAACAACTTTTTATGTGAAAGTGTTTGAAGATGGTAATAAACCCCAAAAGAAAGTTGACAAATATTCATTTATTAGCAGTGATATGGTCCTCAACGTCACCTTATTAGGGAGAAAAACGAAACCAAGAAACAAAGATTTTGGCGATGTGGAACTTGTGCTTGGAGCGTTAAAAGACGGGAAATCAGTCTTTGTTTTTGATGTGAAAATCCCAACTTCTTTTTTCAGCCATGTTTATCCCGTAGCGTTGTGTGATTTGAGGCAACTTCATCGAAGCGAGGAGTTACCACTTGTGTACCCAGTGGATGTTCCATCAAACGGAGAAGTTTTAGAATTCATTTACGCGAACGACTTTGATGATGAATATAAAGACTGTGGGATTCTTGTTTTCCACGTCCATAAAGAAGGCACAATCGAGTACCACGACATTGTGCCTGAAAAAGTCATTGAAAAGAAAATGGAGATGCCTAAACTACTTGAAAAGAAAGGAATTGATGTACAACCAATCAAACCCTTCGAAACATCAAAACCGCTTCCAGCTACACCAAACGTAAATCAAAACGAAGAAAAGGACAGTTTTGTCGATAAAAAAGTGGAGAATTTAAATTTTAAGAGTAATACCACTGAAAGAGGTATAACTCAAAAGGCACTAATTGAAAACTACTCTCCTCAAATAAACACAAAGACGATAACTGATCCACTTATTCAGTCACCAAGAACGCCCAAAACAAAAGTTGAAAGTGTTGATAAATCAAATGAAATAAAAAGCTTTACATTTGGTCAACAAACTACTGGTGTTGTTGTTGATCCCAACACCTCCGCAGTAAAAAAGGAAGCGAGAAGAGACGATAAAGACAAAGAGAAGCACGAGGAAAAAAAAAGATATGAATACTTGAAACTAAACAATCAACAAAACATATGTAAGACCATTGTATTTAGCACTCTGAATGTCGGAAAAAACCAAATTATAAAAACGGACCGTGTTTCTGGCGACGTGTTTTATTTGCGACGGAATGGGTTTCATTACAAAGTTCGAATAGTTGAAAATATGGTAGACGATAAGGTGTATGTCGAAATATTAAATGGTGGTTGTCAAGAACTGTGTTACTCAGTCAACACACATATCGTTGGTGTAGTTCAACACAACCCAACCAATCTTAAGCTCAATCGAGAGTTTATCGTTAGACTCGAAGATCTATTTTCTAAAACGGAAATTCATGACGGAATGACTTTTGGAGTCGAGGTTGGTGTTGTGGAGGTTACAGGAGAAACTCAAAAGGTCTCGCTGATAGTACCAATCAGAATAAATGCCACAGCTTTTTATCGTGAAACCATTATAGCAAAGTTTTCTGATTGCTTATGTGTTAAACTGACTATTCAAAACTGACACAATCCAAAGAATTCATTCAGTTTTTTTTAATGTTTAAAAGTTATTCTTTTGTAAGTTAATATATAATAAATAAATAATAATACAATGACATTATTTTTATCATTTGAATAAAAGAAAGATATTACTAAAGTGGAACTGAAAAGAAACTCAAAATGAATTGAAAACGTCACAATAAGAAATTCAAATACAAGAAGAGGAAACGCAATAATGATAATAAGGTATTCTATAAATAGTAAAACTCATTATAAATCATAGTAAAAGTATAAAATTAGTACATTCCATATTTAATTGTTTTCAAAATATCAAAAAGAAATCCGGAATTTAAGCTTCAATACTACTTGAATTTTAAATCATCTGAGTACTTCATTTTCTATGCAGTGCGAGGCAGAAACATTAAACTACCCACAAGTGTGTAGGTTCTGTTTGGACCCGAACAGCCAAGAGGAACTGATCACGCCATGTGGGTGCTCCGGTCCAAATCAATATGCACATCGATCTTGTTTAAATGCGTACAGAATTTTTAGTAACAACCCTGTCGCATATGGGAAGTGTATGTTATGTGGAGTGGACTATACTTTTAAGCATGTTAGAGAACATTCAATAGGGTTTCTCTTATTTAAATTTTCGATGAAGCTTATCTTTCAAATAATGATGTTGGTCATCGGGTTGTTTTTATTGATATTTGTGTCGGGACTCATACCATATGCAATCGATTCGTACTCAACGCATTTGTTTCTTGCTAAATACGATGAAGTCGCCCATTTTGCGGATGATCCCTATTTTGTCCCAAGAGATCTTGTGTTTGGTCTGTGCGTGGATTGCTTCATCCTCGGTATTTGGAGCATTATCGGCATGTTGGGGAGGTGTATGTGTCGAGATAAAGACGACGACGAATTGGAGTTGAGTCACCAGGACACCGAACGTATGGGCGCGTGTTGTGGACTTTCAATATGTTGCATGCCTGTCGTGTACAAGTATGGTCTTCTCAGTAAATTGGGATGCTGCTATGCGTGCAAGTGTTGTCCAAACACCGTTCCGAATTGCCTTGATATCTTAAATTGTTGGCGATGTTCATTAATGACATGGATGTGTTGTCGATCATGTGGGACATGTTGTTATGTGAGTCCATATCAAAAGACACAGTCATCTGCGTGCAATTGTGACTGTTCTGGTGATTGTTGTGCTGACAGTTGTGCATTGTGTTGTATTGGGTGTGGCGATTGTGGTCATTCTTCTAACGCTGCTATTCCTTCCAATTGTAATTGCTCGGGGTGTGACTGTGGCAATTGTGGAGGAGGAAGTGGAAGTGGAGATGGATTAGGAGTCCTCGCGATCATAGTAATAGTTATAGTAGCGATCATTATATGTATCGGTGCTATTGCTGGGACACTTGCGTTGATATTTTTCATCATTTGCATTGTTAAAATCAACTTTGGGTATGTCCGAAGACAAGCTGATTGTGAGATGTACATCATTGATAATTGGGATGAAACGAATCACCCTATGCCAACACAACAACCCCCAATGCCACAAGTCGCTATACCGGTTGTTCTCACACAACCAGTCATCCCCGTTGTTCAAGTCGTCCCACAAAATCCATTAGTGTTCCAACCACCTTCTGTTCCTAACGAAGTGCCTTATACCAATGGACCATCACATGGCCAAGAAGAAATGCCATTGATGGGGACGGGCTCACAAATCATTTAATTAGTTTGAAGTTGTTTGTGTTTTCATTTTGGTCGATTTGAGAGTATTAAGTAAACACTATTTGATCACCGAGAAGACTATGAAAACAAACAATAACATTACTATATAACTAGTTAAATAAAAACACCAAAAAGTGGCGAAAAAGACTGATAAATATCTGAACTATACGTATACACTTTTCTCTGAAAGTGGACGTAGAACCTTTTTACTCCTCTTTTTGCGAAGCATCTGGTTGATGTCGAAATCATCAATTGCGTTCTGTTCTTCGGTGAGCATTTGTTGCTCTAAAACACCCCAACGCCCAGTCAGTTCTTCACTAATTTCGCGGTGACTGTCAAAATGCGATGACACGTCTTTGTGTGGTTCAGTAGCAAGTTTCAATAATTTGGTGTGTTTGTCTTGCCTTTGTGAAAACGGACGAGTCGCACGCGCGCCAAGTACAAGTTTGTAGTCCTCTGTTTGAGGGTCGTTTCGAAGGGAAATCTTCTGGTTGCAATTTTTGCAGTACACCACATACTCAAATATACGTGCGGAGAAATGAAACCCAACCGTCCGTTTTTCCGCACTTATGCGACTCCCTTTGGCAATTTGTTTGTTGCATTGCTGACACCAAATATCAAATGGCATTTTCAAGTTAACTGTCATACATCGCTTGGGTTGTGTTTGTGTGAGGGATTCGGAAAATTCGATTTGTGAGAGAAGTCCGGGGGTATCATTGTCCTCTCTTGTTATACTCATTGCTTTTTGAGTTTTAACATTTACTAAAATTTTAACAAACCATTCCTTCCCAATAATAGTCTTTTAAAAGTCCGTTATAAATTCATCAATTAATTTACTAAACATTAATTAAAACTATAATCAAAAAAACTTAATAAATATAAAAAAAATTTCTATAAAGCTTTTGGGAATAAAAAAATATTATTATTATAATATATTTATAATTTATTTTGTATGAAAGTATAAAGGATTCACAATAATAGCTCATTTAATTTAATTTAGGGTATTTGTCGTATTATACTTGTTAGTTAACTGTATTATATTTAATAATACATAAAGAGGTTTAATTAATGAGAAATTATTCACTGTTATTTTAACGAATACATTGTAATTAAAATGAAACGATATGAAACTAGAAAATGGAATTAGACGATTAAACAGTCTTTCTTTTTCCCACACCCACTAAAGAGAGCTTCTTCCTTTTGTTTTTCGATATATTTTTTCATCATTTCCGAATACAACACTTTAGAGAATTCCGTTTCTTTGAGTTGGAAAGCAGTCACTCTTTGATCGATGCCAAGTAACTCAGCAAAAAGTCTTTTGAACTCTGGGAAATCAATTGTCCCACTTTTGTCTTGATCATACTTTGACATCTTCTTTTTGATGTCAGACTTGTGAAGCTTTTTGAACTTGGCCATCCCACTGTACATCTCCTCTTTTGCTATATTCCCACCATCGTCCAAGTCCATCAACTTGAAGTACAATCGCGCAGTAATACAAAACGTCTCTGGGTCGTCAAGACCAGCACCAGGGGTAGAGCGCTGTTTTAATGCAAGTGTGTACTCCTTCAACAACACAGCTAAACGAACAAACTCCAATTTGTTGATTTTATTGTCGTCATTGATGTCAGCAAAACTTGAATAAAGTGACATGTCGGTCTTTATTCCAAGCATTTGGATGAGTGAATTGGTTTCTTCAAAGGTCAACTGCTCACGATTTTGTGCTTTGTTCTCAAACAACTTAGACGCACTTGCGATGACTTCGTCAACTGTTGTAAAGTCTTGTGCTACTGCAAAAATGGGTTGGACCAACTTGACGAACTCATCTTGTGAAATTTTCTGCCCAACCTCACGCAGACATTCGTAAATGTTCGTTGCGCCAAATTTGCGTGCATTTTCCATCACATTTTCGACTTCACTATGTTCGATTACACCCGAATTGTCGCTATCAATCAATTTAAAGAGTAATACCGGAAGTGTGTTGGTATCGCTCTGTGAGTCAACTAACTCCATCAATCGAATGAATTCCTTTTCGTCGACTTTATTGTTATGGTTGGTGTCCGACAGTGTTACGTAGAACTTCAGTGGTCCAACATAATTTCTTGCTTGCAAGTATCTCACCATTTCCTTCAAAGAAACTTCGGTCTTACCCTTTGCTAAATGACGGAAGTCTTGTGAGTAATTTGGTTTTGCTTCTTCTGCCATTGTCTTCTGTTTTTCGAATTCCTCTTAGTTTGAAGTCTGTTTCATATGGTGTTTCACTCTTTAACTTCTTTTTAATTGTTAAAACTATTCTAATAGAAATGGTATTATTTGTAATATAAAAAATAACTCCAAATCGATTGTTTTTGCTTTCAAATTACACAGTTAAATCTACATTTTACTGAAATCTAGCAACATCTGTGTATGGTGTTAGTATGTCTTTTGTGTCAGGTTTATTATTATAATTTAAATTATAATAGTAAAATTAAAAAATAGCATAAAATAATTTGTTTAAAAAATTGTAGTATTGATAATATCAGCAAATATTTTCGAAATACTCCGGCATCAAATGACATGATTTTGAATATTATGGATCAATCAAATATCATGTTGTTTGTTGATGAAGTATTTGGAATTGACTTGTTGATAAAACCTTCTTCTAGTCCGTCACACGAGTCGTCTTTTGGGAATGAGAAATTACAATCTGTTTGAGAAGACTCGCTGATGTGTTCATCTTGGCTATGTTGCAAAGAGTCGATAATTATTTCTTCCTTTGGTTGAGTTGTATAAATATCATTGTTTAAGTCGCTTTGTCCGATCGTTTCTGGTTTCAATGAAGAATGAGAAGTGTTTTGTTGACTAAGAAGTAACTCATTTTGAAAGAAATTTTCAACTTTTTCGAATGTATATGATGAGTGTGTTTTTAAGAATTCCCTAACTTGATCAATATACTTTTTACTTATCATCGCAATTTTTTCTTTGTCCAATCTCATGTCGTGAAATTCAAAAGACTGAATGGACGGCATTACTACTTTCCCTTTTGCCTCTTTGGTGTTTTTAGACGAAAACTTGAAGCCAATCTCTTCGAGTTCTTTTCTCATGGAGTTGATTAAACAATTTTGTATAGACTCCGTTTTTTGTCTTTTACTTTTTACGAAAGACGAGTCTGTATCAGCTTTCTTCATTAAGGATTCAAAGTGTGGAGATTTAATTTTTTCAATTTCAACCATTTTTGTCGATTTTTGGGCTTTTCGCTTTGAGACTGTACAAATCACTGGGCAAATATTGTTACTATAGAGCAGTATAATTAACATCCTACTCATGTCTTTCCACTCGTTGGAATTTTTGCGGTTGATGACATTTGCTTTACGTCGTAACACCTCTTTGGAACACTCCATGTTTTGTGATTTGTTAGAACAAAAGCTTCAAATAATGTCTCAACAAAACCTCAACACAAAATAAGTCATTACAACAGAAATTTTAGCTTGTATTAACGCAAAAAATGCCAACAAATTTGTACCATATATTTATAAATCAAATAGTATATAAATAATACAATATTCATCGATAGCAAGAAATAATGGCGAGAACAAGTTGAATTCGCTCGTATTATTTTTCTTTAGCTTAATTACAAGTAGTTTATATTAAACATATTAAAATATATTAAATGTGTAATTATAATAATATCAACAAGCGATTTGTTTGTATTTGTATAAGGAGTAGAAGACTTAGAGCATACGTTTTGTTGTCCCGAAATTTTTTTTCTCGAGTTAATTGAAACGAATATAATAAAAAATGAATAAAAGACTTTTAAAAAAAAGCTGTTACAACTCAAAAAAGTTTCAATCATCAATCGATTTTGACGTTTTTAATTAAAAACAAACTCAAAATGAATTAAAGAAATCAAAACAAAAAATACAAAACAAAGTTATATCAAATTATATGAATAACAAACATTGGCGATAACTAATATGTTTTTATATGTTGTTGATATCAATAACAGTAAATAGTCGACAAAGTTAACAATGTAGGTTCGTCACTTGGTGAATTGAAAATAAGCATATTTGTGATTTTTATTCATAAATTAGTGGTTGTTGGACACATATTGTTTTTGATTAAACAATTTTTGTTTTCAAATTATTTATAACGTACTTTTTTTGATGCATAATTTTTTTCTTTATTTGTGTTAATTTTCGTTTAATTAATTTTTGATCAATAACACATTAACACTTAAAATAACACCCTTATTTTTGTTTTGACCTGTTTTACGAGGGATATTAATCCAATTTTTGATAATTTTCCTTTTTTGGCTTGTGTATTGTTTATGAACATAATATATACTCTAAAAAAAACGGAAATTTATTTAATAAACTCGATATTTCCCGATTTTTAGACCATTTGAATTTTGTTCAATGTTATTTAAAGTGTTAAAAACGAAATTCAGCGTTATTTGACAAAATTGTAATATTACAGTTGGGCCATTAAACCTTCGCCCAGCAAATTAACCTTAGCCTAAAGAAAAACTAATTATTTTCTATTGTTATATTAAAATAATAAACTATACCAATATAAAAGTCAATTTTTTAAAATATTTGTTTTTTTAGTAAAAACCCGTGTTTTTAAAGAAAAATATAGTAATTTCTTTGGGCTAAAGTACATTTCCAGGGCTTAGGTTCATTTTCCCTACTGTAATAATGCCATTAATTTATGAAAAAAAATATTAAAATTATATAAAATTTGGTTGAATTGTCAGTTTGTAAAAATCAAAGACTGATGAATTTTTATTAACAATTTAATAGTATATTCATGATATTTTCCTAATATTTCAAAAATAAAATAATATATTTTTTATATTATAATCTGAAAAATATTATTATTATTTAGTTTACTTTTTTTTTCAAAATATAATCTCTCATAAAAATAAAACAATTGATTGGAAATTTCCAAGAAAAAAAAAACTGATTATAAACATTTAACTATAATTTAATTATATTTAATTATAATAGATAGATAGAACTGAATCAAAAATCACAACACATTTCCAAAACCAACTCGATAGATTGGTTTGAAAAAACCATACGGCAATTTTTACTTTTTTTATCCTTTAAAAACAATAATACTATCAACAAAATAATAATATATTAGTAATTAATTAACAATAAAATACAATCTACACTATTCTTATTAAAAAACCATATTAAAAAGCCCTTTAAAACTAAAAAAATAAGATGTTGCTTCTACTATTGGTCAGCATAGCGCTTTCTAAATATCCTGTGATCTACGAGATATCCACTAGACCATGGTTATACGAGTTGTCAAAAAAGACTGGGAAGACACTGACTAAGTTGAGAGATATCCCATTGACTGAGTTTGACACGCTTAAGAACAAAGGCATTGACTATGTGTGGATGATGGGTGTTTGGCAATTAGGAGACTACGGCCTCCAAATCGACAAAAAGTCCGACTTCTCCTCTGTTCTCCCGGGATACACCCAAGACGATATTATTGGGTCACCATACGCTATCACGGAGTATACCTGCAACACTGAGTTGGGCAGCGATTCCGACATTCAGTGGTTAAGACAACAACTCAACGCTAAAGGTATCAAGTTAATGCTCGACTTTGTACCAAACCATTCAGCCTGTGATGCTGCAGAAGTGACTTCAAAATCAAAATTATATATCAGAGCGGGGACTTCAGGGTCATACGATTCCAAGTATTACTTACCAAATGGTGTAGCTCATGGAAAGTTTGTTTTATATTTTTAATCATTAAATTAATAACTTATTATTGTATAACACTGGCATTAAGGACTTACAGTGCAGAGACCCATACTTCGACCCATGGCCTGATACAGCACAATGGAACTACTTTGAACCAGAGACTAGAACATTCATGACTAACAACTTATTGAAAGTTGCTTCACTTGCGGACGGTATTCGATGTGATATGGCACATCTTGACTTGAACGATGTCTTTAAGGGAACTTGGGCAAAGGAATTGGCCGCGACTGGGTACTCTGTTCCATCGACTGAATTCTGGACCGACGCCATTAAAACAGTCAAAGCGAAATACCCCAACTTGATATTAATGGCTGAGGTGTACGAAGACTGGGAAATGACCAAATTGAAAGCGTGTGGATTTGACTATTATTATGACAAAGCTTTCTTGGATAAGTGCGAGAGTGGTGTAACTGATGTGAATAACTATGTACACTACAAGGACTTGGAATTTTTGAATAATGGAGCACACTTCGTTGAGAACCACGATGAGAACAGAGCCGTTTATAATATGGGAAGTGTCAATAGAGCAGACGCAGCTGGTGCTATGGCCGCTACCCTCCCTGGTTTGATCTTCTTCAATCACGGACAATTCGACGGACTGAAGAACAAACTTGACGTCCACTTGAGAAGAAGTGCTGATGAAACAAAGTCGACTGTTGCTCAGAATTTCTACGCAAAACTGACTGAGATCTTGAAGAACGACGCCTTTAAAACTAAGAGCTTCTACTTTGTGTATAACGTGAATGGAGACAACGCGTGGAGATTTGCCTCGTGGATCCGTGGAACCACAACCCAATTTTTGGTTGTTGTGAATTACTCTGATGGGTATGGATGCGCTAATGTACCAATTTATAATATCAACGGATCTGGCGATGTCAAAGTCCTTGAAATGATGTCTGGCACAGAATACACAAGAACAGGGTCGACACTGAAGTCGACTGGACTTACTGTCTGTTTGAACGCATGGGAAACACAGATTTTCAAGTACAATTACTAAATGAATTCTCAGTGACATTTGGATGTTATTACCATCACAACTTATACCATTCATAAATTAAAGACACTCAATAATTAATATATTACTAATAAGAAGTAGTATTATTTGGAATACAACTCACAAAATGGTTTGGAGTTGCTCAATTTGCCTATTTGAAAGGGTGACAGGGTATTTCACGACAAATTTCACAACTAAATTGCCACAAAGTCCATTGGTATCTCTCATCCCTAACCCCCGGAGCACTTCAGACCCATCCGTTGTGTACAAATTCTCAAACGTCGTGTCATATGTCTTCCCATCAATTCCTTTGATGGCGCGTCGAAACGTTTCTGACAAATACTCGTCAAGGCTCACTGCTAAGTTCATTTCTAAATCCTTTCCAGAAAGCGTGAACCGGTCGTGCTTGAGTACACAAAGAGTAAACACAATGTCTCCCGTTTCAAATCCGGGTCGCTCACTCCCCATCCCCTCATAACGCAGCTTCGTCCCATTCTTCAAACCAGCTGGGACTTCAACTCGTATCGTCTTTTTCATGGAATTTTTCCAGCCCCCTTCCCACGTGTCAACGTAAACAGAAAAGTCACCCTTTTTGCCATTATACAGCTCCTCAAGTGTCATGTTGAGAGACACATTCGTGTCGGCAAGTTTCCTCTTGCGTCGTGAAAACTCGCGAAACGATGAGCCAAAAACCTCTTCAAAAAATGAAAAAGCGTCTCCCCCTCTTTGACCAAAGCGGAATGGGAAATCGCCAGCCCCAGGGCTATGTGAAAACGGCGAACGAGTCTGCGGAGAAAGGCCCGCCATGCCATAACGGTCATATAACCCTCGTTTGTCTTTGTCGGAGAGGACACTGTACGCCTCGGAAATCTCTTGGAACTTCAATTTGGCACTTTCTTGTGACTCTTTGTCTTGCGCCACTCTGTCAGGGTGATATTTTAACGCCTTTTTCTTGTACGCTTTCTTTAACTCGTCGTCAGTCGCCGTTTTTGTCACATCAAGTATCGCATAGAAATCCTTCTCCGACATCGTTAAGTGTTCTGATTCTAGTTCTTTGATTTTACTATTGATTATTATTTCTTACTATTATCAACACTATTCATTATAGTAAAAAAAACAATTAAATGTATTATTAAATATGGTGACATATAATAATTATAATTTAATTATATTGATATATACTTCTAATTAATGTTGTTATTTAAAGTACAATGACATTTTTATTATTGTACAACTCATTTTTTTTTAAATTAGTATTTTTTTTTAATTAAAAATTCTATAATTTATTAAAAGCTACCAGTTTTTGGAAAATGCCACAAAATATTTATTTAAAAAAATTTGATAATTTTTTTCTAAAACTTACAAATTTATTGTAAAATCCAATAAAAACTGATTGTATTGAATATTAAATTAAAACCTAATTCAAAAGGAAATGATTGATTGTTTTTTGTTTTTTGGTATTCATCAATAAACTATTTTTAATAGTACTTAATGGTTCAGTAATAATAATAACATAAAAATATTTATTTATTATTTATTAAAAAAACTTTTGATCTTTTTTTGGTAACTTTTGAAAGAAATTTGTAAAAAACAACGGGATGTAAATTATAAAAATAAAACCAATTTTCTTTGAACGAAAATTTTTTGATTTTGAATGAAATAATGTTGTTTTCTTATAGAAATAAGACTTCGTGTTGTATCTTGAAAAGACATCAATGTTACTCTTGACTTTGATATCAATTTGTTTAGCTACAGACCGTCAGGCCGAGTTGTTGAAACCAATTATGTCATTATGTGCACAGAAAAAGTATAGCTCTGCGTTTGCTTCATACAAAATGCTCTTTCAAAAGAGTTACAATACACAGAGCGAGGAATTAAGACGTCTTGCAATTTTTGCCGTTTGTTTCTTTAATATTTTTTGGGTCAATACAATAACACAAAGGACAAGTCTCGTTTTATTGCGGAGTTCAACACACAACGCAAGTCATCCAACGACGCACTTTTAGGATTGAACAACCTTTCTGACTTGACTACTGACGAATTTGCTCGTATATACCTTGGTGGGAAGAAGCCATCCCCCGTTACCAACACACTTCCCAGTCAAACAGTTGCAGAACAAAAGACAACTGTGTATAAAAGTATTCACAAGAAAGAATCGACATTGCCCAATCTATTCACTCTTTGTGGGTCTTACACAGCTTTCAACACAGAAAGAGATGGCAAAGACAACCATTGCTATAGTGGTATCAACCAAAATTTATGTGGGTGTTGTTACGCCGCCTCAATAGCAAATTATTTGCAGGTCAAACATCATATCAACAACGGTGAAGTTGTACAGTACTCCCCACAACAGTTCATTGACTGTACTGGTTTGTTTTAACATTGAATCGTTACGCTACTTATAACAAGGTGGAAATTCTAAAGCGTGTTGTGGCGGGTTTTCGTATGATGTTCTGGACTTCAACAGAGCATTCGCACCGATGTCTGAGTACAATTACAGAGACAGTGAAACCGAGTGCCAAACCAACTACACGACGAAAAGCAAATTGTGTTACAAGATCAACAAAGCCACACAAAAGTTGGTGGACTACAAAGAGTATAAAATTACTTCTTATGCTGAATTTAAACAGATCATATATGATAATAATGGGGGTGTCAGTGGGGTTTACGTTCCTCTCAGTGGGAGTATAACTTCAGTCTGGCAGAATTACAAAAGTGGTGTGATGGACTTATCTGGAGCTTGTGGCGATATTAATAACAACAACATCCCAACAAATCATATGGTTGATGTGATAGGGTTCGGTACTCAGTCGTCGGGATCAGGGTCTCCTGACTTTATCACAGTTCGAAACTCTTGGGGCGACGATTGGGGAGATCAAGGAACAGCACGGATATCAATGGATGCAGTCTGTGGTATTGGCGGATGCGATGGAGACAAAACTGGTAAATGTCCACACCCAACTTTCATCACTATAAACACTGAAGTCACCAAACAAACAGGCGACCTCAAAGAGCAGTACGGCTGTTTGGAAGGAAAATGTGACAAAACGATTTGTGATGGGAGTGAGTGTGTGTCTAAGAGCGAAGAATTGCCACCAAAAAGTGTGGGTTGTATGCAGTTAACAATAGTTGCTGTGTTGGTGGTGATGTTTTGGTTGTGATTTTGAATTACAAAATTTCTTTACTATGTTATTTATTATTTATTTATTACAATACTTTACTAATTATTAATAGTAATTCAATGCATTACTAATAGTATTTCATTAGTATAGTATTAATTAATTATATCATGAGTGAAATTAATTAATAGAATCCCATAATTTAAAAAACTCGATATTAACTACTATTAACAAGGATATTCAAATTAGAAAAAGAAATGATGATTATTTGTACCGCCCCAGTCTTAGAAATTCGTGCTGAATGGGAGTAATCTGATTCTTTTTGTTATTTAACTTGTTTTTGACTGGTAAATATAAAGTAGTTACAAGAATCATTCAATTGAAGATGTTGAGTATTGTATTATTCTTATTATATAGTAAATAATAACTGACGTTATTAAAAACAATTTAACAAAAACGTCTTAAATTGAATGCAAGAGCTTTCTGATCTTCAGTATATCTTTATTGTTTCTTTCCATTTTAGAATGGTGGCAAGGTTCAACGCTTAAGACGTGTGACTTTTTGCAATGTTTTTTAACTGTTTTAGTTGTCTTTTTCTGAGTTTCTTTTTCTTCTTCTTCTTTTATGATTTGGTTGTTATTTTTCTCCTTTTCCTTTTGTAATTCAGTTAAAGTGGTGACTTGTTTATTTTCCATTTCTTTCAACTTTTTCTCAAGGTCATCCAACTTCTTGATGTAGGACTCTGGCAACTTTTCAATTGTTTTCTGAACTTCGACAACCTTTTCTGGAGCAGTTATTGGTGCTGGTGTTGGGAATGGCAAAGGAGTTGGATTCTGGAACTTCATTTGATTAATCAAATTTTGTTGTTGTTGTTGTTGTTGTTCCTGAGCTTGTCGTTTCAACTTTTTCTTTAACTTTTTCGCCATTTTTTTCGCCAACTTTTTAGCCGCCTTGTCTTTGTCTTCCTCTATCCCTGGTTTGACGCCTTTTTCTTCCTTTTCGAGTTTGTTGATGATATTATCTGTCTTTTGTTCAACAGTTTTATTCTTGTTTTTGTTGGAAGTTTTCTTGTTGTCGTTGTTATTAGAAATAGTGATAGGGGGCATATTTATTACAGGTGCCGTTGATGGGGCTGTTGTTGTTGGTTGTTGCATAATAATTTGTGGAGCCGGTGCTGCTTGAGCATTTTTATTCATCAACATCATCATATTGTTATTCATTTGTTGGTTTTGTTGTTGTTGTTGCATTAACATCATTTTGAACATCTCACTGTTCTCTTGGTTGTTATCGTGGACAACTTTTGTGACAACCGTAGTTTGTCCATCTCTACCATCACGTCCATTCACTCCGTCTTTTCCATCCTTCCCATTAACACCATCTTTACCATTTAATCCGTCTTTCCCATTTGCACCATCCTTCCCATTTATACCGTCCTTTCCGTTTGTACCATTCATTCCGTTCATTCCATCTTTCCCGTTAACACCATCCTTTCCATTAATACCATTCGTACCATTCACTCCATTTATACCATCTTTACCATTTGTACCATTTAATCCATTAATACCTCCCTTATTGGGTTCTTCTTTCTTTGGGTCTTCTTTGGGGGGATCTTCTTTTTTAGGTTCGTCTTTCTTGGGTTCATCCTTTTTGGGTGTAACTGGCTGTTTTACAGGACCACAGTTACACTTTGGTGGTGGCACTTCAAGACACCTTCTGCAACACTGACATTTGTTAAGTGAATTTTCCCAGAACAAGACTTTGGCGTTGTTTATTTCTCTGGTGAATCTAACACCTGTGAATCCAGATAATGCGACTCGTGCAACGGGGAGTACTTTACACCAGAACTTTTTAAAGAGATTACTAGCTATCGTCAAAGTGACTCCACTTGTCTTTCTTCTTTTTGCTTCCGCTTTCATTTTTTCAGAGAACTCGATTTCTAATTGTGTGAGTTTAAGTTTGGCTGCTTTAATTGCTTCTTCCTCTTCTTTTGTCAACTTTTTGAATCCTTCGTTTTTGCCAAGACCATGATCAATAACACGTTGTCTTGCGTCTCTCACATTTTTCTGTATTTTGGTGTTTTGCTTTAAAAACTGATCGTACTTATTAACATTAACTGTTCTTGAACGTCTTAACCCTCCTCTCCTTTTAGGAACAGTGTTCGTTGTTTGTTTCTTCTCAGAGTCTCCCATATCTGGTTCGGGTCCTGTATCGCCCTTTGGTTGTGGGACTTGTCCACTGTCAATCTTTGGACCAAATGGTTTTTTATTGTTTTTAATTACTTTCAGATAAGAGTCTCGACCAATTGGTTCGTCCTTCTGTTTTTTTGTCACAAGTGGCTTTCCCTCTGGATTTGATATCACAACCGTCGTTTTTTCATTTTCTTGTTTTTTCTTTGAAGCTGATTCTTTCTCTTGTTTCTCCTTAATTTGTTGTTGTTGTTTTTTCAACTCCTCAGCTTTTTTTGCTTCTTCTTCTTGTTTCTTTTTAAGAGCAATATCCTTTTCCTTAAAAAGTCTTTGTTGTTCTTCCAACTCTTTCTGCTTCTTCGCTAACTCAATTTTGTTAAGTTCTTCTTCTTCTTTGGCTTTCAACAACTTTTGCCTTTCAATCTCTTTCTGTTTGTCTTCCAACTCTTTCTTCTTCTTCTCGTTTTGTTCGTTCTTTGCTTTCTCCTCTAGTGCCTTCTGTTCTGCAGCTAGTTTTTCAGCTTCAATACGTTTTGCTTTCTCTTCGTCTTGTTTCTTTTTGATAGCAGCTTCCTTCTCTTGTTTCTCCTTAATAATTTTTTGGTTTTCTTTTTCTATTTCAATGAGTTTACGTTTCTTTTCCTCTTCGATCCTCTTCTTATCTTGAAGCTCTTGCTGTTGAATTGCAGCACGTTTTCTTTCATCTTCCTCTTTTTGTTTTTTTAGTTGTGCATTTCTCTCTATTTCCGCCTTCTTTCTTTTCTCCTCTGCTTCAATGGCTGCTTTTTCTTTTGCAAGTTGCTCGAGTTTTTGCTTTTCAACTTCTTTGATGTGCTTTTCCATTTCAATATTCTTCTGTCGTATTATTTCATTGTTTTTAAGTATTTGCGCCTCTCTCTTTCTTATTTCTTCGTCATTCAGTTTCGCTATTTTGGTTTTCTCATTGTTAATAACAGTGGTAATCTTCTTTTCAGTCTCCTTCTTTACAACTTTGGGGTCTTGTTTAAGTTGAGGCTTTGGATCGACTCTTGGTTGACTTGGCTGTTTTTTGAAGTTGTCAAGTTTTGGTACATTGGCACAATGAAACACTGGTGGTTGCACTTCAAGACATTTTCGACAGCACTGACACTTATTGAATGAGTTCTGCCAGAACTGTATTTTTGTTTCTGTTCTTTCTCTTGCAAGCCGTTTACCTGTAAATTTGGATAGAGCAGCGTTTACTGTTGGCTGGATTTTGCAGTAATATTGTTCAAAGAATTTTGAAGCGAGTGCCAAGGTCACGTCTTGGAGCTTTTTGTGTTTTGCTTTGACTACTACTTGTTTTGCAAAGTCCTCTTCCAACTCGTTTAACTTCGCCTTAGCGTTGTCTGCATTTTGCTTCTCTTCTGGTGTCATCTTTTTAAAGCCTTCATCTGGGGTTAAACCATATTCTATTACTCTTCTTCGAGTATCCTTCACATTTTGTTGGATCTTTGGATCTTGTGTAAGGTTGGAGTCGTACATGTTCAAATTAGCCCGTGAACCGGTGGTTGTATATTTCCTGGGTGATGTGGTGGTTTGTGGTTTGGAAATTGCGGGCTTTGTCGTTGTTGGATGTTTTGCAGTTGTTTTAGTGACCGACTTAGGTGCTGGTTTAGCGGTTTTTGTGGGGTGTCCAGAATGGATACTGAATGCTCCTTTCACAATCGCTTTATGATAAACATCGTCTTCTTCTTCAAGAGAAAACTCAAACTTATTGTCGAAATCGTCTGTGTCAAAATCAAGAGTACCCTCAGTCTCATCTTCCATGTAATAGTCACTATTCGATAGATCAGTCACTTCGTAGTTAACTGTGTTAGATAACACAGAGAGATACAACACTTGTATCAACAGAATTAAATTCAGCATTTACTAATAGTATGACTTTGTAGTTTCTATTTCTTCTTTATTTGTTTTGTTGAAGAAATTACATGTAAGGACGTATTCAATTTTTATATTTATTTTATTTATAGACTTTATTACACGTCTTCTGTTTTGATCTTTTAAATAATTATAATTATTGTCATACAACCGTTCACATTTTGAATTGTTTTTTCACCAAACTAATATTTTTATTGAAAATATTTCTCAAACTTTTAATGTATTACAACTTATCACAATATGCCTTTTTTATAATGTCATTATTTTCAAAAGGACTGAAAATATTAATGAGATTAACATATTTGTAATTAAAATCTACAACATTGGCTATTTCAATTTATTATATGAAATTTTTTTTTTTTTAATTTTATACAAAGACTTTAGAAAAATCTCTATTATAATGACAAATTTTACAATAAATTAATTGTTTTATTATATTAAACGTGTTTATTTGTGAAAATCGGGCAATTCCTGTTCAAAATATTAAAATATATATATAATTAAGTTTGTTTTTAATTGACAAAAAAGAATAAGTTTGTAAGTGTGTAGTTTTTTAATTGTATAAGAATAAAAAACTGTCTTTCAAGCAAGCCTTATGGGAAGAGCTTGTTTTCTGTATTGTTTTTCAAAATATAGTTTAATTAATAATAACAAATCTATAATTAATTATTAATTAGAAAAAACAATATTAGGGAAAATTTTCTGATTGATATGAAACAAATAAAATAATTGAAAATAAAATAAATAATTTATTTTTGATTGATATAATAAAGTCTGTTTTTTATTTACTATTATTTATAATAACAGTATTATAATTTATAATAAAAATAAAGTAGTTTTTCTAAAAAATGGTTTGTATTATATTTTTTTGTTCTTTTTTTATAAATATGTGTTAAAAAGAACAAAAAACAAAATGGCTAAACAACTGAAAAATTTATAAAGCATAAACAAAGAATACGTTGGTCTTGAAATGTGAATACGACGAAATAAATTAGTCAACTAAACTATTCAAAATGAATAAAATGTCATATTAGATCGAGTAGACATGTCAAATTATCATTTGGGTCAAATTTAAAACGACAACAAGTGATTTGGAAAAAAGTCAATGCTCTAGATTTGTTTATCATTAGTTTTAATTAATGACAATTTTATTAATAGTTTATGGTTTTTAATTAGCGATATTGAGTATAGTAAATAATGGTTTAATATTTTCGGTCTAGTTCTTTTTTTTGTTATATTTTTAGAATATCGCTAAATAGAAAACAGACTTTAGATGTAAAAAGAACTATTGAAAGTACTACACTATGTTATAAAAACCAACCAACTAATTTCCAAACAGATTATTTTAAACACAACACTTACTAGTAAAATATACCATACTCAAATTATACCCAAACACTTGTTTTATAACAAAATAAACTTTTTGAGTTTATGAAGTGGCTGAAAAAGATAATAAAGCGAGACCAGATTTTTTGGGAACATGCTGGTCAAACCAGAACTTGAAATTTTCACACAAAAGATGGAAGAAATAGTTCAAAATGAAAAGAAGAGGAACGGCATACTGATGAATACGATATCGCTACCAGGCCTTCTTTTTGTTGGTCTGGTATTTTTGTTGTTCACCACTGGTATCACTATTGTCTCTTTCATATCTCCGAAACGATATTTAACGACTACACAAGGTCTTTGGAATTGCTCGAACAACTATGCAGGTGTTTTTGACAAGAAAGAATGTAAAGGATGGGATTCGTACGCAACATTAACGAGAATGGAAGAGGTTACAAAACCAAACGTTTCTATAGCGTTGGGTCCTTTTGGCCCACTTAATAAAGATGTTAACATTAAACTCCTCATTAAAAATGTTTTTACAACAAGTGCAAAGGAGAGTTATGAATGTTTGTTAAATTCTAACGTTATGGAAGTCACATCTCACATGACTTAGAACTGCCGTATGGACTAACTTACAGTCACTCTTGATTTCGATTACTCCCTTCAACCATTTACTGATATGAAGTACATTGCTAGCACCAATTATGTGTTGGTCAGAGCACACAAAGTCAACGTGAAATGCGAAGGATTGAATAAGTACTGTGACGTTGACTTTTCACTCTTTAGACGATTTTCGTCAAGCATTTACGAGCGATTTGATATATTTTCAATGAACTCGACATCAACAAAGAGTATGGAAAAGGCGGAATTTTATCTGACTATCGATACGTACAATTCGAAATCGACGATGTACGAAGTCATCTGGCGATTAGTCCTTGTATTTGCCAATTGTGTCGTTTTAGTCTTCTTTTTGTGGTCCCTTCGAAAGGTGATGTTGAAGCAATGGCCATTTGAAGAGGTACTTACAGCACTACTGATCTACGGATTGATTTTCTTCAACAACCCGTTCTGTTTCTTAGAATATATGACTCAGGCGTCCTTCTTTATGATGGTCAACACATTCTTTGAGGCGTTCTTCTTAGGATATATGATGTTCTATATACTTGCTTTCTTCAACTTGCTAAGAAGAGTTTGTTGAGATAGATCAATAGTTATATAAAGTGGTGACATGTAACTCACAAATAGCCAGAGAAGGCAAAAGGATTCATTCCATTGATCACAAGGGCAGTTATGGGAATAGTGATTGGGTGCACTTCCTTTGGATCGACCCTTGCAGTCAAAATGACGGTGAATTTGAATAGTCACTTTACCTCAAATGTGATGACTATTGTCTTTGGTATTTCATTTCTTCTCGCCATCTTGGCGTATTTGTTTTGGTTGGCTTTTGATGTCATCCGGTCATTCTCCGAGAGACGAAAAATGAGTGGCCCAAACAAGAACAGGACTTTGATCTTTGGGATTGTGACATTTGGCTGTATTATCATTATAGCGTCGGTCGCTATTGGGGTCTATTTCTCGGGATATATGGTTTCAAGTTTGTTTTACTTTGATAGTAAGAACAAGTTGGTGATGACACATAGATATGTTCATTGGTCTTATGGCATATGTGAATTTGTATTGCTTCTTCTTAACGATCTTATGCCTTCCATCACAAGAAAACACCGAAAACACGGAAAGTAAAGTGATAATGAAGTTGGACACCGAACTTAAAGTCGAACAGTACGACGATGATGGGGAATTGATCATTAATGACACTAACACCGGGAAAGAGGGACAGTTGTATGATGAAGACAACGCTCTCAACGTCTCTAAATTGGATAATTGAACTTTTCGATTCAAATTAACGCAATTTAAAATCAATTCAAATCGTCTGCCTCGTCGACGCTGATCGGCTTTGGAAGTGGGATGATCGACTTTTTATTGACATCTCTTGGTAATGCTAAATGCATATCATATGCATTCTCTTTGTTACTGCTATAATACTCCAATATCTCTCGATACACCACATAGTCCAATTTGTGATACATTCGCGTCGCAGCATCATTCGACTTTCTTACAAATAAGTCCACGTAATATCCATTTGACCTGAATTGTCACGTTCACTCCAATTTTATAATTTATAATTAATAATTTATAATTAATAATTTATAATTAATAATTTATAATTAATAATTTATAATTAATAATTTATAATTAATAATTTATAATTAATAATTTATAATTAATAATTTATTAGTAACAACTTATAATTGTATCGCTTCAAATAACAAACTCTTCAGAGATCTGCCTGAGCCAATACATTAGCCTCTCACTCAGTCTGATTCTTCGAAACTCTCTGGACACTGTTATGGCAGTCAAGTGTCCGTGGTGCTTCTCATCCTTCCCTTCAACTTTCCCAATCAGATACCCCTCACATCGACCATTACAGTTCTTGGCAGTATAACACAAATTCGGCCACTTGGCCAAGTACTCAAAATAAAATGGGAAGTGGAACGTCTCTGTGTAATAATCCAAATTCACGTTTGCGTACTTAAAGACGTCCTCACATTTGAATCGTCTGATTGTTGTCATTTGTATGTGTTGAGTACATTTCACAGATCTTTTCTAATTTCTTTGTAAACATGTTGAATTATTTTTATAATAAAATGTATTATATTGACTAATATATTCAAACGAAACGGATAATGAACGAGTTTGTTAAAGTTTGGCGTTGCACTCTTTGCAAATTGGCTTTCCATCTAAGTTACCAAATCCGCCCGAGATTTTCCCACCACACATCGAACAAACAAAACACTCGGGATGCCAAAACTTTCCCATCGCCTTCAACATTTTCCCTTCGATCTCTTTCCCACATTTTCCACATGTTTTATCAGAAGGAACGCCAGCGGACGCATTTGCTTTGGCAACACAATCAGCACATACAAATCCTCCAACATCATCTTTCCATGCAAATCTCCCTTCAATAGGCACTTTACACTTTTTACAGACAAAACACCTCTCATGGACTAATCGCTTGCCCGCATTGATCGAATCTTCTGTGTTGTAAACTTCTGTGTTACATACAGCACACATCCCTACGACTTTGGCAGCATTGGCACGCTTTTCTTCTTGTGCTTTCATTTCAGCTTCTTTTTGACGTAACTTCTCTTCAACCAATTTCAATTCGGCTTCTTTCAATTTCCGCTCATTCTCTAAAGCAGTCTCTTTGTCCTTTTTTTCCATTGCTGCTAACTCAGCATCGATTTGTGCACGCTTCTCTTCTCGAGCGAGCTTCGCTCTAGCTTCTTCATTCTCAAGACGGTCAATCTCTTTCTGTCGTTCAACAGCTTCAAGACGCTCTTTCTCGCGCTCCGCTTCAAGAACTTTCCGTTTCTCCTCTTCTTCTTTTTCTTTGACTTCTCTCTCAAGACGCTTCTTTTCATTGAGAGCAGCTTTCTCGGCTCTCTCTTTTTCAAGAAGTTCAAGTAACTTCGCCTTTTTGAACTCGTCAATGGTCATCGTCGGCTTCTCGTCAGTGATTTGAATTCGTTTTTTCTCTTCTTCGCAGTGCTTTTCAAAGGCGATCTGCATAGTTTCTTGGTACAACTCTTCTTCCTTTTTCATACGGTCTTGATCTTTCTGAATTTCGGCGTTCACTTTCTCTTTGTAAACGTCAAAAACTTCTTGATGTTGCATCATAAACTGGACGATTTCAAAGCCATTTTGGCGCTGCATCTCTCCTTTCTTCCAGAAGAAAGTTGGCGCAACGACAATACACAAATTGTCGATACCCATCTTGTTGATCTCTTTCTTGGACTCAACTACTATCAACAGTTTGGTAAAGATATACATAACAGCGACATTCGACTCATCCATCGTTTCAAACACTTTTTTGGTCTCTTCGATGGGTTCTTTCGATGCAATGGCATCAATGAAGTCATCCAATTTGTCGCCAGCAATACTTTGTGGAAGTGTTCTTAAATAAGTTTTGATCAAGTTAGCGGCGTCATGGGGATTGATAATTTCAAAGTAACAATCGCCTTGGTCGATTCGAGAAATAAGTCTGTTGATGTTTTTCTGCTCGGATGAAATTCTGAAAATTCCCTCTTCCATTATACCACGAGTCGCTATAATGTTGGTGCAGTAATTGAAAAAGCGTGGAGTCAGTCTACCCTTCTCTGATTTCACTTTACTCACAAATTCCTTTGGATTGATCCCAAAGCATTGCGTTTTCAAGAAAGCCAATTTGGCAGATGAAAAGTTCTGAATGAACTGTTGCAGGTCCGGGTCTTTTTCAAACTTGATGGTCAAGAAAGTCTTCTGTGGGGTGTCTTCAATTAAATCACAACAGTATTGCTCCAACTCTCTGTTGTCTGGCTTTTCCTTTACAGTGCATTGCGTCAAGGCAAACTTCTTTTTGAACAAAATCCCCTTCAAAGAAGAGTGTGTGATCACACTGAAAATTGATCTTTTTGGTTGTGTTGTCATAAATAGAGTATCATTAAAGATATAGAACCTGACTTCTTTATTTTCCTTTGTAGCAAAGAGGGACTGTTCCATCGGGGAGCCGTCGTAATCAAACGTTTGAATGTCAGTGACTTCTCCATCGACAAATTTGATGAGCCTTCTGTTCTCGTCATAGAGTTCTTCAGTAGCAATTCCGCCATTGAAATTGATATCAATTTTGGCTTGTGAAACAATAAGATGTTCTCTAATATCATTCAGAGTGTCTTCGGTCTTTTCGGAAGTCTTCTTAATGCTCATAAGCACTTTGTACATATCTGCCCATCTTTTGTAAATCGACGGAATGCCATCAAAAATTCTTTTAAAAGCAATGTACAAAGTCATTGGGAATTTCATGATCCCTTCAAGAAGTTGTTCCAATGAGTACCCCATTGCTTCTGATGCCTTTTGAATTCTTCTTGTTTGCCCGAAGTATTGCGAGTGATTCTTCTCTAAAAATGTGTTCTTTGTTAAAGCAAATGGATAGTCGATCGCATACAAAGTATACGTTCTGCTAATTCTTTTTGTGATTGCAAAGAGGCTGTCGAGTATCTGGTCAAACACAATAGTCTCGCATGGGATGACATCTTTCTCACTGATTTCAAGTTGAGCCGATCGTGCAGCGTCAACTGCATCGTTCAACACACCAATGAAGTCTTCATTCAAATCGACAATAATTTGATAGCTTGGTATGATTGAGTCGATTTCATATTCAGGCAAGTTGTAATTTGGCTGCTTTGTTCTCAGCATCATATTGTAAAAGCCAAGTGGTACCAAAATACGTTTTCCATAAGAGTCCAAGAACTCACGGAACTTCTTGATTTGGTCAATAAAAGCGGTGACGACATCGGGGTACATTGGGATTTGTTCATGTAAAGTGTTAGATATCAACTTGTTCTGCATTGATACTGTATTTTCTTAAGATTCATCTTTTATAGTTAATGGACAACTTGGAATTCCTTATTTAAATTATAGTTCAGCTCTTCTTGTTATTCTCCCGGTTTTACAGCCCTAACTATAATAAAAGTAAATCAAAAATACATCAAATTTAGTATATTTTATTCGTTTTTGTTTCAATAAAAGTTTCGCTTGTATGTCTTTGATAAAAAGGAAAAAAGAAGTGGAAACTTAAAGTAAAAATAAATAGTTTTCATGTAATAAATAGTTACTCTTCTTGTTCATAGAGTTCTTGGAGTTTCGATACAACACTACTAACCTCAAGACGCTCGATTGGGTTGTGCTTCCAACACTTTTGAATCACTTCATAAATACTTTCTTTAACATTTTCTGGACGATTAAGACGTAGCCCGTTTGATACATACTCTGCTATTATCCATGGGAATTTAAATTGCGACTTTTCGTAAACCTCCCCCCATTTTGTAAGCTCCAACATTGTTACTGCCAATGAAAAGATGTCGGCAGACTTCTTGTACTTTTCTTGTTGCAAAATTTCAGGAGCCATATAAATTGGGGTGCCAATACCTTTTGTGAAGGTCATGTTAGTCATCAACAAATTCACATTTCTTGAAGACCCGAAATCAGTCAGCTTTGCAATAACATTTTCAGTGCGATCAAGCGAGAATACCAAAATGTTGTCAGGTTTGATGTCTCTGTGAATGATACCATTTGTGTGTAAATAAAGTACCCCCTTTGCTGCGTCAAGACATAATCTGAGTTGTATGGGATAGTCTGGTTTTGTCATGGTTGTATCAAGAATCAAGTCACGTGCACTCCCATATTTTGCAAATTCAGTGACCATACAGATTTTATTTGGAATGAAAACAGCACCATAGAAGTGAACGATGTACTCACTTCGGAATTTGTCCAACATCGAAACTTCTCGTTCGAACTCATCCAACGCCTCATTCGCTAAGTCTTCACTCGTCTTCAACTTTTTGATTGCGACATCATCTCCACGGAATTTGCCTTTATAGACAACACCAAAAGAACCTTCACCAAGCTTCTTTTCGAGTTCTAATTCGGAATAATCCAACTTGGATGTGAGTTTGGTCTGCACATCTATTTTAATATCACAGCTATTCTCTTGGCTTGTTTTAAGATCAACGTACACAATTTTGATGCTAGAATCTATTCGACAGGTGCACAAGGGTTTGATCTTTATTTCAAATTCACAAGCTTCGCCTGGCTTCATCACTACTATATCCGGGGTTATAGATGTTTCACAGCGTTCTAAAGAAATAGATGTAAGCTGGAGCTTGAGCGTGTGACTACAGTTGTTACCAATACAAAGAAGTTCTCTTGTTTCTTCGCACACATCAATAAATTCGCTATCTTCGTTGAAGTGAAGGATCAATTTGTTAGTACATATCTTCTTATTTGGAATTGGTTCGAAAGTGATGTTTGAGTCTTTCATTTTAAATAACGTTTTCATGTCCTCTTTCTTTTTCCTTAAAAGGAAGAACACAATCATTGTAAGTATAACTACTAACAGAAGTAATACGATAAAGGCAGAAATGGATGCACCTAAAATGAGACCAAGTTTTGTATCTTTGTCACACAAATGTGCACTTGTAATGTGATACCCTTCCTTGCAGTTGTTACAAATCCCATCATGCGAAGAAGAACAGAAGTTAATTATATTCAGCTCATCACAAATACCATTTGTGAGTATATAATTGTCTTTACATGACATACAACTTGTTGAACTGTTACATGAAATACATTTTACATCACACACAGAACAACTATCAATTGTGTTGTAATACCCAATCTCACATAAATCACATCCAACCTTTCCACCCAAAAGACAATGTTTTATTGTGCTCGTTAACTCACATTTCCCACCTTTCATATAATAATTTGAAGAACATGAAATACAATTGTTTGGTGTTTTATCACATTGGCTACACTCCTCATCACATTTCACACAATTCTCTTGATTATCTTTTATGTAACCCGAATCACATACTGCACATGTTGCTTTGAGATTGAACATTAGCTTACAATTTGGTATTGCAGTCACAACCTCGCATGCAAACGTCGTTGTGTTTGGTTTCATTGAGTTTTCACATGTGACGCACTCATTATAATTGTTACAATACGTACAATTCTGCGAACATTGTTTACACATATTTTTATCAATGAAATACCCTTTATTACATCTGATGCACCCACTCTCAGTTTGTTCCATACAGTTTGTAACAGCAATGCGCGTATAAATTTCACTTTTTGTGGATACAACACCAGTGGAGAGCACAGAAGTAACATTGGAGTTTATGGATTGGGGTAATTTACAAAGGAAGTCTGCTGTGAGTAGATATCCTGGTTTGCACTGACTGCACGCTGTTTCCGTTTTGCATGATTTACAATTTGATACACATAAAGAACATCCGCCGTCTGTGGTCAGGTAGTTTCCATCATCGCACAGTAAGCATTCCCCATTTTGAATGGACGTACAATTTTGTATTTTGGAGCAGACTCCATTGCGGAGAACATAATCACCTTCACATTTTGTGCACAGTGAACTATTTAAACATAAGACACATGGTGAGGCACATTGTTCACAACTTGTATTTGAAATGTAATATCCTTGTTCGCATATATCACATTTCTTTAAACTTGTGGCTATGCAATGGGAAGGCTTGATTTCGCAACTTCCATCAACGATGTAGTGCGACAAAGCAGAACAACTTAAACAGAGAACTTTGCTACTGTATTGGTCATATATGCAAGTTGTGCAATTTGCGGGACAGGGAAGACATTCATTTGCATTGTCATTGTATTTGAGATAATACCCATCAGAGCACAACATACACTTTGACTTTGTTAAATAAAGACATACATTTTCTGTGTATAAGACGCATGAATTCGACGAGTTATCGTAGTAATAGTTATTATCACAAATTTCACAGGAATCACCATTAGAAACCAGACAGTTTGGTTCGGTGTTAGTAACACAATTTCCATTGACAATATTAAAAGTGTCTTTACACCCCTCACAACCAATTTTATCATTGAATGTGTCACACAGTTCTCGTGTAAATGGATAACACTTTTGGGATTTTGTTACATACCCGCTTTTGCATTTTATACACTTTTGATAGTCATAGAGACAAGACTCACACCCAGACTCACAAGGTAAACAATTATTTGTGGCATTGAAACCAAAGCCCGTTTTACAGTACAAACAGTTGTCATATGATGGATTCGCATATTCACAATTTTTCTTATAGAGAGAAGTCTCCCAACAATATCCCTTACTTAGAAATTGACCCGGTTTGCACATATTATTTTCAGGGAGTGTACAGAGTGTATCAGTACATTCAACACATTCGTAATATTCGTTGATATGATACCCAATTTTACAATGAGAACATTTGTCATTTTCACATTTGATACAAAGTTCGTCTGTTCCACACAATTTGGTGCAATTTCCAGACTCAACATAAAATCCCGTTCCACATTCTAGACACTCATATGAAGATGAAGAACATTTAAAACAATTTGGAATATCACAAAGAGTGCAAACCCCATTCAGATTTGTGAAGTTGGAAGTAGCATCACAGTCCGCACATTGCCATGAAATTGTACTACACGAGGAACAATTGGATATTTTTGTTTTACAATCAAAACAGAAATTGTCAAATGGTGACAACCCATTTGGGCATATTCCATTTTGAGGAGAAATACAACCAGTCGCATCTTCTGAACACAACGAACATGTTGATGATAAAGTAATCCCATATTCTATATCACATTTTGTGCACTCATAATTGATTTGACTGCAAGAAAGACAATGCCCGAATTCAGAAGAACACAAATTACATGAAAAATGATCTGTGGATAATACATAACTTGTATTACACTTAACGCATTTGTTTTCGTCTCGCGTTCCAACAATACAATTTGGTATTGCTATTGATGTAGACACACATTTGGCATCCACCAAATTGTAATTTTCATCACATTTTAAACAAGACGGTGAGGTTATAGAACATGTGGTACAATGGGGATTAATGATGGTACATTCATAACACTTATTATCATACAGTGTTTGCCCTTCAATACATTTTAAGCACGTTGGTGATGTCGACGAACAAGAAACACATCCAGAAATAACGTTTTCACAAAGATCACAAGAAGAACCGATTGAAGGGGTATACATTGAAGCACACACGTGACATTTTCCACTGTCACACATCAAACAATTTGCACATTTGACACATGTTGAGCCTGACAAATAATATCCATTTTCACATTGTTTACATTCATTTTGACAGTATTTGCACCCTTCATATTGAGTACACGGTACACAATATGAACCCCAATTGACATAACCAACTTTACATCGAACACAACTGCTTTCGTTTGTACAATAATCACATCCACTTACACATTTTTTACAATTTGAACCGCTTAGGTAATACCCCATTTGGCATGTCACACATGTATGTTTCAAGGTGGTACACATATGACAATTGTCTGGGCATTTTTCACAGTAGTCGTAGGGGTCGGTGTACCCAGACATACAGTTGCGTGGGTAATTCTTGTTGCTACATGTGTCAACCCCGGGAGTCATGTAATTATCTGGACATTCTTTGTGTTATTGTGTTGTTGATTCTCTCATTCCAAAACATTAACAACAAACTCGAACAAGAACCATCGGTAAGCAACCGGTAATGTTGACCACAATTTAAACAGGTAGTCTGGCTCGAACATTTTAAACACCCCGACATCGCAGAGTTGCACGTTTTACATTCACCGGAGTTGGAAAGGTAATACCCATCCTTACAAGCAGTACATTGTGAATACATGGTGCAAGAAATACACTGACTTGGACAAGACAAACATCCCGTCGTTGATAAAAAAGTCCCCTTTTGACAATTGGTCATACATGAATATGATGAACAATCATAACAAAGTCCGTTGATATTTGTGTAGCCTCTTTCACATATTTCACATTTGTCACTTTGAGAGCAACTTGCACATCCGGCTATACACTCTTTTTGTAAATTACATTGGTAAATAAAAATAGTAATAAAATGGAACAAACTGTTACACTTCTGTGTTTTTGTATCTAAGAAAAAGGAGGAATCGCAAGAGCTGCATTGGTTCACTGATGTACATGTTTTGCAACCAATGGAACAGGGCCTACATGTCTGTAAATCGCTTCCTTCTTGTAACAGATAATACCCATCTACACAAAGGGTGCAAACCCGCTCTCCATTACATTCTTTACACTCTCTTCGACATTCTATAAATCAACATGGGTATATTCCTTTGTTTAGAACAAACTGTAGCAATAAGAAAAGTCTGCATCCCTATGACTCCCTGAGTAACACTGAGTGCATGTATTTGCCCAATTACAATAAGAACATTCATCATACCCACACCCAACAGAACATGCCAAATAGACAATGAAAGAAAGAAGAAGTGGATAACACAATGATGGCATCCAATTGATTATTTTTAGTTGGCAATTATAAACACATTTTTGGTTGTCTGTTGAACAGGCAATTCAAAAGAGTTTAAAAATTACGTATGGTATGTTTATTGAAATGTAGCTTATTTCCTTGTGTAAATAATGGGAAAATCAAGTTAAATCATAATTAGAATTGAATATTAAATAATAGAAAATGGTTGCAATATTTAATAATGACAACTCTTTTGAAATATTTCAAAATAATATTAAATGAACTTTACGTGTTATTTCGGGATATTTTTAAAGTTAAAGTCGTATTAAATAGAATTACAAATAATTAATTATTACTCGTTAATTTATTATAATAATTATAAATTGTTTTTTTAATTAATTTTAAAATAATTTAGTAACACTTAAAAAAAGAGGTAAAAATATATAAACAGAGAATCAAAACGAAGATGAAGATTCTATCTTTTTTTTTACTTTTTTCATTACAGTAGGAGGAAATATAGAAAAAAGAGGATGCTCGTAACTATTGGTTAATTTCAATTGAAAAATAATAAAATTACTATTGATTTTAATATAAATTATTAATCAAAAAAATAATAAAATGAAAAAACCAGAATAAATTTATATTAATTATTTATTATTAATAATATTAAATTAATTAATATTTAGATTAGCATCCCCTTTTTTCTCAGGATCCCACTTTTTCTGTAAAAGGTAATTATGGAAATAATTTTTACTATGTTTTTATAGTTCATTAAAATAACAATAATAATTTATATGTTAATACAGTTATATATTGAGTTTATTAATTAAAACTAATACAGTCATGCGAAAAAGCTGTCGTGTTTGGAAAAACCTGTCTTGAAAAAATATTTTATAGTAAATTTATAATTACTTACTATACAGTATAGCTTCTATTCGATTTATTTGCAGGGTCATTTCACAAAAATCGAATAAAAATATTCGGCATTTCCAAATAACATTTTCTATTTCAGATCATTTGTTTATAGTACTAGAATAGTTCATTACCACCCGAGACAGGTTTCCA